GCATTCCTGCTCTGTTAAGGTTAAATATGATGCCCTGTGATGAATCACCCTCTCTCTGTAATTTCTCCTCCTCCTCCTCCACCTCCTTGCAATTATGTACTCCATCTTTGTAGATAATGTTAAGCATGGAAATTATTAAATTTGTAGCTGTGAGATCACATGCTGCATGTAAATCTTGAGAACAACGGTCATAACTTACTTTGCTTCAGTGTGCGTTGATTCTTTTCTCAGTGTTCTGAGATGACATGCCAAATATATACTCTCTCTGTGATGACGAAGCTGTTTGTGGTTGGTAGAGAGACGTGAAGTAGTTAGTTTGCATCAGAGTTTCAGCTGTGTTAGTCGGTCAGGTGGAGTGGCAATTAGGCGTGCCAAACGCGCTCCTATAGATATACATCAAAATGTACTGTAGATCTAAATGTATGTGCTGCATATATTTAAATCCCATATGACAAAGATGAGTTGTGCGCACAGATCACACCATAAATTCCAAAAATGGCATTAAAATTGGAACCATCTGTGCGTAAATGACGCATCGCGCTCCGTGGCCTGGCTCTTTCTTTCATAGATGTTGGCATATAAAATAAATTTGGCTCACAAAACTGAATATTATAATATCCGTATGTCGGCTTAAAGTAGATCACGCATCTGAGCACTGAAACAAATCATCTGTTCAGTCGCAGCAGCAGCAAGACGGACAGAGGACACGGAGACGTGTCCAGGTCGAGCTGCGCGAGAAATAAGAGGAAGAGGAAGAAAGAAAAGGAGGGAGACGAATTACATATCTTGTTAACTTCATCATGGCGAGCTTTCAGCGCACTTTACACGCCGTTGGCGAGCACGAAAATGTCACTGCGCCAGCTGATTCTGTCAACACCTCCCCCTGCCACACCACCACGCCCAGCTTGGCGGATCTCGGCTCGCCTCCGTGCGGCTCATGCCACGAAAATACCAAATTGGCCTTACGCTGGGCTCCGCCAGACGAAAATACAACTGCGCGGGGCTTGCCGCCCTCCGCCACCTCACCGGCGCGAACGAAAATAGAGCCCATAGTCTAAAACATAGACAGCATAGCATACCAATTGAGCTGAGTCATTAAACTTCCTACCAACACATACACAACACAACGCTCGGAGACTCGACTGGGAACATGTGACAGGTTGACATGCGCCGGCCAGTGCAAGCCCTTGATCAGCCTACCCCAAACCGCCAAGTCAACTGACGAAAGCGGGGGCTATCACTGTATCTCTTACTCTTACTCTTACCCACACCTAACCAGCCAGTTGCCTTCGGACAGACTTGTCACAATATCATTCCGAGAATAGTCTGAGCCCATGCTCCTTCTGTGCACACAACCTCTCCCCCCCCCCCCTTATAGAATCTAAGATCTTCCAGTATCAAGGGTGAGAGTGAATTCCAAAGAATCCTCCACCTTGGAACCTATACTAACACTACATTCCTCAGATAACTAAACAAAAAACATCTAAACCCTAACAGCAATGACGAAAAGATAAATACTTTTCAAGACAAATTAACTCCTGACCCCACCCTGCCCCCCTCCTTTTCTCCCTCTCTCCTGATCTGTACCTCTCTCTCCTATCAGAGGATGAAAACCAGCAGGTGAGGAGAGTCTCAATGGCGAGTCACGGTGGCAAGATCTATTCTCTTTCTATCACTCGAATCCCTGCATGAGCAAAATGGTGCCAGACAAACCACCTGCTCCCACCACAATCCTCTGTGACTTTTTGACTCTATCCACTTTTAGAACTTAAAATAGTAATCAATAATCAACTGACCAACTCAGCTCAAACCAAACCCAAAACTCTGCCTAGAGAACTCTCACTTCCACGTTTACATATCTCTTTGTATCTCGTGAGGACCGTGAGGAGAGCAGAGCCTAGACCTAGTCGGGTTGGGGGACTATGTCCCTTACTCACTCTCCTCACATGGATGGTGAGAGCTGGGGAGCTATGGGATGTTTCATCCGCCACCAAATCCCCCTCACCAATCTTTATTTTCCACCATCTCCACCTCTCCCTTAAACCCCCCTCTCCCTCTTCCCTTCTCTCTCTCTCTCTCTCTCTCTCTCACACACACACACACACACACACACACATAAGAGAGACCTGTAGGGGAACCGCCGTGCCCCCTAAATCCTCCCCCTCAAACATCTTTTTTAACACTCTAAAATTAGCCAGCTAACCCCACTACAAACAACTTCATCAAAAATTTAAATAATAAATTCTTATCAATAACTGACCATCAGTGACACCAGACTAAGCTAGCAAAAAAGAACACACACACACACAAGTACAGATTTTCCCTTCGGACATTGATCAAATTTACATTTCTGTCTGTCTTTTAGGGAACTGTTCTCTGTTTTTAATCTCACTTTTGATTTTTGCTATTTGCTCTTGACACTTCTTTTTTTCCTTTTTTCTTCCCCTTCCCTTTTTGCAATCCACTTTTGTTCTTCTTTTATTTTTTTATTTTTTCATTGTTTTATATTATATTATTTTATTTTATTTTATTTTATTTTTGGGTTCCTGTGCTTTTGTTTTTCTTCCCCCCCCTCCCCTCTTTTTTTCTTAGGAAGGACTGACTCCTGAGGTTCTCATGCCAGGAAAAATGTACCTCCCTCACTCACGGTTTTACCCACAATCCTTTGCTGCAACAGGGAGCTTGATTCCCAAGGCTCTCATGCCAGAAAGGAAGTACCTCACTCACTCACAGTTTTACCCACAATCCTTTGCTGTAACAGAAAGATTGATTCCTTAGGCTCTCATCCCTCAGAACTAAAATACCCACAATCCTTTGCAATTGCATACAAATTTAATGTAGCAAAACTCAATTTAAAACAAATAAACCACTTTAAAATTAACTTAAAACAACTTGAAAGTTTAAAATACAACCAAGAGACATCCATTCTGGAGAACAAACATCGAAAAGAGAACACAACCATGTCTGAGAGGAACAACACAAACCACGACTCGAGCCCCACTCTGGGGAAGTCTGCGCTTGTTAAAAAGCACTTTTAAGTGCTGTGCACTAAAGAGCAATTCCTGTTCCTGTAATTGAGACAAAGCCCTGACCACTGGACCAAGAAGACGGACCACCGCCGCGAGGAAGACGCCGCGCCGCCACCTGAAGGAAGACGCCGCACCTCCTTCACTCCAAGCCGGCTACCACCGATCTTCGACCCGCCGACGGCGCCGAGTCCCAGCAAACCTTCCCGCGGACCGCCTATCTTCTTTCCCCGGCCGAGGACTCTGGACTTCAGACACACTGCCGCCCCGGCTGGACAGCTGGAACCTTTTCCCCCCTCCAACAGATTTTAGACTACTGGAAAAGAAACGCCTCACATCAACAACAACATAGGACCACTAGGGTAAGTCTACAAAAAACCTCTCAAACACCTCAAAATTACTCCAAATAGTTACAGAATAGCAACTACCAAACTAGCATACAACTAAAACTTCACAGCACCAAAACTAAATAGGACTAAAATAGCTCCAATTGGCTACAGGGCACAACAGGGAAGTTGATCGACTCCGTGGGGCCTTCCTTGAATGAGGATATCTAGTGTTATAATTGGCCGAAACATCAGATGATTTCGGGGTTCACTACTGAGGACGTGTCCTGAAATTTAATGTCCAATACCAGCACTGGGTCAATGTAATGGTTTATTTGAAGAATTTTTCAAACAAATAGGTCTTCTATTTTGAGCGTTGGTTTATCCTGGTGCATGAATAAAGGTCCATAAAACCCACACATTTTATGGTTTACTTTAATTTCTACTCTAGCATAGCATTTCAGCATTTGTCCATTTACCAAACTCGTATTTCCCACCTCTTGATCCCAGGGTCCAGTTTTTTACAGTTTCCTTTTTTCACCTTTTCGTTTTTGCCACTCTCGTATTTCCCACTTTCTAATTTGGTAAACATTTTACATTCCATATTTTATCCCAGTTTTTATTTTTTATTTTTTATTTTTAGTTCTATTTTTATTTTCCTATTAATTTCCCCCTACCTGTATATTGTACCTGTTTTGAACAAATAAAAAATGTTTTGGAACAACTATACACTCAATTTTTATTCCACCTTTTTTTCCTCATACTAATTTACTTTATAATTCAATTTTGTGTGTTTATATCACTATTTTTTTATTATTTAAATTTGCGATTTAAATATAATACATTTGGTTCCAGTGCAATCAAAATTACAATTTTCCTTTGTTATACAGAAGTCAACACAATTTTCTCTCAGTTTTACTGTAATATCAATTCAATGTTGGGTATAACTTTAACAGTTCCTGTTTGTACTTTTTAACAAAATAAACAGTGTAGAAAGCGATGACACAATTTTATACAACATTCTAATTTACACCCGTAAGCAACAATTTGGGAGCTAACCTTACTTATCAAACTCAAAATTGTTTAACTCATGGATTACAACTTTAGAATAGTCCAATACCTAAATAAACTACAATTCCTACTCACTTTCTAACTCTGAAATAATAATTTACAGTGAACCCTAGGTCCTATATAATCTATATAAAAAATCTCCACTTAACTCCAAACTTATCCATCTAAAACAATGCAACTTTCTGAAAAGTCGATACTCTGGACCAATAATTCTATTTATTGATCCAAAATTAATAATATAACAAAATTAAATTATGCAATTATTAATGAAATTGACACTTTTGACTCTGAAATAATAATTTCCAAATGATGATTTATAACTAACCTTTAAGATTTATTTTAGATCACAGCGTTAGGGCGTTCAGCAGAGTCTATGGCCTAGACAGGCCTGGGTGGAAGGGGTTCCAGACGGAACCGTCCACTTTTGACTCTGAATAATAATTTATAAATAATAATTCATAAATATTTCCGATTAAATCTAAAATAATTTAAGGTCACAGCGTTAGGGAGTCTAGCAGAGTCTTTGACCTGTATCTCTTACGCACACCCAAAAAAAAATTTATTTCATTTTTCGTTTTTTTTTTTTTTGTCTAACTAACTCAAAAAGGTTAGAAAAGAGATCCTACAAAGGTTTTGGACAGTGATTTTAACCCTAACGCCAAAAACCTTTAAACTTTACCTAGCCCTGTAACCTAATATCTGGGTATTACCTAAAGGAAGCCCTACATCCCCCAAAGTATCTTTTTTATTTTTCATTTTCTAGCAGCGAGACAACCGAAGAAGAAGAAAAGAACAGGAAAAAAAGAAAACAGCCTTCAAAAGTGCATCAAAAAGGAACGAAACGATGCTATATGCATCTATCATCTGTCCAGAGTGAAGACGTTCTCGACTTCACAAGGACACGTTGGGAAACTTACAGAACTAGTATTAGAAAGTGGCTTTCTCTACAGGGTGAGACAGAAGACCAGCCAGAAATGTGTAGTGAATTTTGATTATTATTTGGTCTAACTAACTCCAAAATGTTGGAAAAGAGTTCCTACAAAGGTTTTGGACAGTGATTTTAACCCTAACGCCAAAAACCTTAAACCTTACCCTAGCCCCAAAACCTAATACGCGGGTATTACCTTCAGGAAGCCCGAAAACCCCAAATGTTTTTTTTTCATTTTTCATTTTTTTTTTGGGGTAACTAACTCCAAAAGGTTGGAAAAGAGTTCCTACAAAGGTTTTGGACAGTGATTTTAACCCTAACGCCAAAAACCTTAAACCTACCCTAGCCCCATAACCTAATACCCGGGTAATACCTTCAGGAAGCCCGAAAACCCCAAATATTATTTATTCTTTTTTCTTTTTTTTTTGGTCTAACTACCTCCAAAAGGTTGGAAGAGTTCCTACAAAGGTTTTGGACAGTGATTTTAACCCTAACGCCAAAAACCTTAAACCTTCCCCTGGCCCCAAAACCTAATACCTTCAGGAAGCCCGAAAACCCCAAATATTTTTTTTCATTTTTCATTTTTTTTTTGGTCTAACTAACTCCAAAAGGTCTGAAACATGTTCCTACAAAGGTTTTGGACAGTGATTTTAACCCCAACGCCAAAAACCTTAAACCTACCCTAGCCCCAAAACCTAATACCCGGGTATTACCTTCAGGAAGCCCGAACACCCCAAATATTTTTTTTCATTTTACATTTTGTTTTGGTGTAACCAACCTCAAAAGATCTGAAACATGTTCCTAAAAAGGTTTTGGACAGTGATTTTAGCCCTCACGCCAAAAACCTTAAATCTTATCATAGCCCCATAACCTAATACGGGTATTACCTTCAGGAAGCCCGAACACCCCAAATATTTTTTTTTTCATTTTTCGTTATTTTTTGGTCTAACTAACTCCAAAATGTTGGAAAAGAGTTCCTACAAAGGTTTTGGACAGTGATTTTGAGCCTAACGCCAAAAACCTTAAACCTTACCCTAGCCCCAAAACCTAATACCTTCAGGAAGCCCGGAAACCCCAAATTTTTTTTTTTCATTTTTCATTTTTTCTTTTTGGTGTAACTAACTCCAAAAGGTTGGAAAAGAGTTCCTACAAAGGTTTTGGACAGTGATTATAACCTAAACGCCAAAAACCTTAAACCTACCCAAGCCCCATAACCTATTACCTAGATATTACCTTCAGGAAGCCTGAAAACACCAAATATTTTTTTTTCATTTTTCATTTGTTTTTTTGTGTAACTAACTCCAAAAGGTTGGAAAAGAGTTCCTACAAAGGTTTTGGACAGTGATTTTGACCCTAACGCCAAAAACGTTAAACCTTACCCTAGCCCCAAAACCTAATACCTTCAGGAAGCCCGAAAACCCCAAATATTTTTTTTTCATTTTTCATTTTTTTTTTTGGTCTAACTAACTCCTAAAGGTTGGAAAAGAGTTCCTACAAAGGTTTTGGACAGTGATTTTAACCCCAACGCCAAAAACCTTAAACCTACCCTACCCCCATAACCTAATATTACCTTACCTTCAGGAAGCCTGAAAACCCCAAATATTTTTTTTCTTTTTTCTTTTTTTTTTTGGTCCAACTAACTCCAAAAGGTTGGAAAAGAGTTCCTACAAAGGTTTTGGACAGTGATTTTAACCCTAACGCCAAAAACCTTAAACCTTACCCTAGCCCCAAAACCTAATACCCGGGTATTACCTTCAGGAAGTCCGAACACCCCAAATATTTTTTTTCATTTTACATTTTGTTTTGGTGTAACCAACCTCAAAAGGTCTGAAACATGTTCCTAAAAAGGTTTTGGACAGTGATTTTAGCCCTCACGCCAAAAACCTTAAATCTTATCATAGCCCCATAACCTAATACCCGGGTATTACCTTCAGGAAGCCCTAACACCCCAAATATTTTTTTTTTTCATTTTTCTTTTTTTTTTTTTTGGTGTAACTAACTCCAAAAGGTTGGAAAAGAGTTCCTACAAAGGTTTTGGACAGTGATTTTAACCCCAACGCAGAAAACCTTAAACCTACCCAAGCCCCATAACCTATTACCCGGGTATTACCTTCAGGAAGCCCGAAAACCCCAAATATTTTTTTTCTTTGTTCTTTTTTTTTTTGGTCTAACTAACTCCAAAAGGTTGGAAAAGAGTTCCTACAAAGGTTTTGGACAGTGATTTTAACCCCAACGCCAAAAACGTTAAACCTTACCCTAGCCCCAAAACCTAATACCTTCAGGAAGCCCGAAAACCCCAAATGTTTTTTTTCTTTTTTCTTTTTTCTGGTATAACTAACTCCAAAAGGTTGGAAAAGAGTTCCTACAAAGGTTTTGAACAGTGATTTTAACCCTAACGCCAAAAACCTAAGACCTTTCCAAAGTCCCATAACCTAATACCTGGGAATTACCTTCAGGAAGCCCGAACACCCCAAATATTTTTGTTTCATTGTTCATTTTTTTTTGGTCTAACTAACTCCGAAAGGTTGGAAAAGAGTTCCTACAGAGGATTTGGATAGTGATTTTGACCCTAATGCCAAAAACCTTAAACCTTACCCTAGCCCCAAAACCCAATACCCGGGTATTACCTTCAGGAAGCCCGAAAACCCCAAATATTTTTTTTTCATTTTTCATTATTATTTGGTCTAACTAACTCCAAAATGTTGGGAAAGATTTCCTACAAAGGTTTTGGACAGTGATTTTGACCCTAACGCCAAAAACGTTAAACCTTACCCTAGCCCCAAAATCTTATACCCGGGTATTACCTTCAGGAAGCCTGAACACTCCAAATATTTTTTTTTTCATTTTTCGTTATTTTTTGGTCTAACTAACTCCAAAAGGTTGGAAAAGAGTTCCAAAAAAGGTTTTGGACAGTGATTTTAACCCTAACGCCAAAAACCTTAAACCTTACCCTAGCCCCATAACCTAATACGGGTATTACCTTCAGGAAGCCCGAAAACCCCAAATATATTTTTTTCTTTTTTCTTTTTTTTTTGGTCTAACCATCTCCAAAAGGTTGGAAAAGAGTTCCTACAAAGGTTTTGGACAGTGATTTTAACCCTAACGCCAAAAACCTTAAACTTTACCCTAGCCCCAAAACCTAATACGCGGGTATTACCTTCAGGAAGCCCGAAAACCCAAAATATTTTTTTTTCATTTTTCATTATTATTTGGTGTAACTAACTCCTAAAGGTTGGAAAAGAGTTCCTACAAAGGTTTTGGACAGTTATTTTAACCCTAACGCCAAAAACCTTAAACCTTCCCCTAGCCCCATAACCGAATACCCGTGTAATACCTTCAGGAAGCCCGAAAACCCCAAATATTTTTTTTCTTTTTTCTTTTTTTTTTTTGGTCTAACTAAATTCAAAAGGTTGGAAAAGAGTTCCTACAAAGGTTTTGGACAGTGATTTTAACCCTAACGCCAAAAACCTTAAACCTTCCCCTAGCCCCAAAACCTAATACCTTCAGGAAGCCCGAAAACACCAAATATTTTTTTTTCATTTTTCATTGTTTTTTTTGGTCTAACTAAATCCAAAAGGTTGGAAAAGAGTTCCTACAAAGGTTTTGGACAGTGATTTTAACCCTAACGCCAAAAACCTTAAACCTTCCCCTAGCCCCAAAACCTAATACCTTCAGGAAGCCCGAAAACACCAAATATTTTTTTTCTTTTTTCTTTTTTTTTTGGTCTAACTAACTCCAAAAGGTTGGAAAAGAGTTCCTACAAAGGTTTTGGACAGTGATTTTAACCCCAACGCAGAAAACCTTAAACCTACCCAAGCCCCATAACCTATTACCCGGATATTACCTTCAGGAAGCCTGAAAACACAAAATATATTTTTTTTATTTTTCATTTTTTTTTGGTGTAACTAACTCCAAAAGGTTGGAAAAGAGTTCCTAAAAAGGTTTTGGACAGTGATTTTGACCCTAACGCCAAAAACGTTAAACCTTACCCTAGCCCCAAAACCTAATACCTTCAGGAAGCCCGAAAACCCCAAATATTTTTTTTTCATTTTTCATTTTTTTTTTGGTCTAACTAACTCCAAAAGGTTGGAAAAGAGTTCCTACAAAGGTTTTGGACAGTGATTTTAACCCTAACGCCAAAAACCTTAAACCTTACCCTAGCCCCAAAACCTATTACCTTCAGGAAGCCCGGAAACCCCAAATATTTTTTTTTCATTTTTCTTTTTTTTTTTTTTGGTGTAACTAACTCCAAAAGGTTGGAAAAGAGTTCCTACAAAGGTTTTGGACAGTGATTTTAACCCCAACGCAGAAAACCTTAAACCTACCCAAGCCCCATAACCTATTACCCGGGTAATACCTTCAGGAAGCTCGAAAACCCCAAATATTTTTTTTCTTTGTTCTTTTTTTTTTTGGTCTAACTAACTCCAAAAGGTTGGAAAAGAGTTCCTACAAAGGTTTTGGACAGTGATTTTGACCCTAACGCCAAAAACCTTAAACCTTACCATAGCCCCAAAACCAAATACCCGGGTATTACCTTCAGGAAGCCCGAATACCCCAAATATTTTTTTTTCATTTTTCATTATTATTTGGTCTAACTAACTCCAAAAGGTTGGAAAAGAGTTCCTACAAAGGTTTTGGACAGTGATTTTAACCCTAACGCCAAAAACCTTAAACCTTTCCCTAGCCCCAAAACCTAATACCCGGGTATTACCTTCAGGAAGCCCGAGAACCCCAAATATTTTTTTTTTCTTTTTTTTTTGGTCTAACTTACTCCAAAAGGTTGGAAAAGAGTTTCTACAAAGATTTTGGACAGTGATTTTAACCCCAATGCCAAAAACCTTAAACCTAACCTAGCCCCATATTTTTTTTCATTTTACATTTTGTTTTGGTGTAACCAACCTCAAAAGGTCTGAAACATGTTCATAAAAGGTTTTGGACAGTGATTTTAGCCCTCAAGCCAAAAACCTTAAATCTTACCATAGCCCCATAACCTAATACAGGTATTACCTTCAGGAAGCCCGAATACCCCAAATATTTTTTTTTCATTTTTCATTTTTGTTTTTGGTGTAACTAACTCACAAATGTTGGAAAAGAGTTCCTACAAAGGTTTTGGACAGTGATTTTGACCCTAACGCCAAAAACCTTAAACCTTACCCTAGCCCCATAACCTATTACCTTCAGGAAGCCCGAATACCCCAAATATTTTTTTTTTCATTTTTCATTATTATTTGGTCTAACTAACTCCAAAAGGTTGGAAAAGAGTTCCTACCAAGGTTTTGGACAGTGATTTTACCCCAACGCCAAAAACCTTAAACCTAACCTAGCCCCATAACCTAATACCCGGGTAATACCTTCAGGAAGCCGGAAAACCCCAAATATTTTTTTTCTTTTTTCTTTTTTTTTTTTTGGTCTAACTAACTCCAAAAGGTTGGAAAAGAGTTCCTACAAAGGTTTTGGACAGTGATTTTAACCCTAACGCCAAAAACCTTAAACCTTCCCCTAGCCCCAAAACCTAATACCTTCAGGAAGCCCGAAAACACCAAATATATTTTTTTCATTTTTCATTGTTTTTTTTGGTCTAACTAACTCCAAAAGGTTGGAAAAGAGTTCCTACAAAGGTTTTGGACAGTGATTTTAACCCTAACGCCAAAAACCTTAAACCTTCCCCTAGCCCCAAAACCTAATACCTTCAGGAAGCCCGAAAACACCAAATATTTTTTTTTCATTTTTCATTGTTTTTTTTGGTCTAACTAACTCCAAAAGGTTGGAAAAGAGTTCCTACAAAGGTTTTGGACAGTGATTTTAACCCTAACGCCAAAAACCTTAAACCTTACCCTAGCCCCATGACCTAATACCCGGGTATTACCTTCAGGAAGCCCGAAAACCCCAAATATTTTTTTTCTTTTTTCTTTTTTTTTTGGTCTAACTAACTCCAAAAGGTTGGAAAAGAGTTCCTACAAAGGTTTTGGACAGTGATTTTAACCCTAACGCCAAAAACCTTAAACCTTTACCAAAGCCCCATAACCTAATACCCGGGTATTACCTTCAGGAAGCCCGAAAACCCAAAATATATTTTTTTTATTTTTCATTTTTTTTTGGTGTAACTAACTCCAAAAGGTTGGAAAAGAGTTCCTACAAAGGTTTTGGACAGTGATTTTAACCCTAACGCCAAAAACCTTAAACCTTCCCCTAGCCCCAAAACCTAATACCTTCAGGAAGCCCGAAAACCCCAAATATATTTTTTTCATTTTTCATTGTTTTTTTTGGTCTAACTAAATCCAAAAGGTTGGAAAAGAGTTCCTACAAAGGTTTTGGACAGTGATTTTAACCCTAACGCCAAAAACCTTAAACCTTCCCCTAGCCCCAAAACCTAATACCTTCAGGAAGCCCGAAAACACCAAATATTTTTTTTTCATTTTTCATTGTTTTTTTTGGTCTAACTAAATCCAAAAGGTTGGAAAAGAGTTCCTACAAAGGTTTTGGACAGTGATTTTAACCCCAACGCCAAAAACCTTAAACCTACCCTAGCCCCATGACCTAATACCCGGGTATTACCTTCAGGAAGCCCGAAAACCCCAAATATTTTTTTTTCTTTTTTCTTTTTTTTTTGGTCTAACCATCTCCAAAAGGTTTGAAAAGAGTTCCTACAAAGGTTTTGGACAGTGATTTTAACCCCAACACAGAAAACCTTAAACCTACCCAAGCCCCATAACCTATTACCCGGATATTACCTTCAGGAAGCCTGAAAACACAAAATATATTTTTTTTATTTTTCATTTTTTTTTGGTGTAACTAACTCCAAAAGGTTGGAAAAGAGTTCCTAAAAAGGTTTTGGACAGTGATTTTGACCCTAACGCCAAAAACCTTAAACCTTCCCCTCGCCCCAAAACCTAATACCTTCAGGAAGCCCGAAAACCCCAAATATTTTTTTTTCATTTTTCATTTTTTTTTTGGTCTAACTAACTCCAAAAGGTTGGAAAAGAGTTCCTACAAAGGTTTTGGACAGTGATTTTAACCCTAACGCCAAAAACCTTAAACCTTCCCCTAGCCCCAAAACCTAATACCTTCAGGAAGCCCGGAAACCCCAAATATTTTTTTTTCATTTTTCTTTTTTTTTTTTTTGGTGTAACTAACTCCAAAAGGTTGGAAAAGAGTTCCTACAAAGGTTTTGGACAGTGATTTTAACCCCAACGCAGAAAACCTTAAACCTACCCAAGCCCCATAACCTAATACCCGGGTATTACCTTCAGGAAGCCCGAAAACCCCAAATATTTTTTTTTCATTTTTCTTTTTTTTTTTTTGGTGTAACTAACTCCAAAAGGTTGGAAAAGAGTTCCTACAAAGGTTTTGGACAGTGATTTTGACCCTAACGCCAAAAACCTTAAACCTTACCATAGCCCCAAAACCAAATACCCGGGTATTACCTTCAGGAAGCCCGAATACCCCAAATATTTTTTTTTCATTTTTCATTATTATTTGGTCTAACTAACTCCAAAAGGTTGGAAAAGAGTTCCTACAAAGGTTTTGGACAGTGATTTTAACCCTAACGCCAAAAACCTTAAACCTTTCCCTAGCCCCAAAACCTAATACCCGGGTATTACCTTCAGGAAGCCCGAACACCCCAAATATTTTTTTTTTCATTTTTCGTTATTTTTTGGTCTAACTAACTCCAAAAGGTCTGAAACATGTTCCTTAAAAGGTTTTGGATAGTGATTTTAACCCTAACGCCAAAAACCTTAAACCTTACCCTAGCCCCATAACCAAATACCCGGGTATTACCTTCAGGAAGCCCGAAAACCCCAAATATTTTTTTTTTCTTTTTTTTTTGGTCTAACTTACTCCAAAAGGTTGGAAAAGAGTTTCTACAAAGATTTTGGACAGTGATTTTAACCCCAATGCCAAATACCTTAAACCTAACCTAGCCCCATATTTTTTTTCATTTTACATTTTGTTTTGGTGTAACCAACCTCAAAAGGTCTGAAACATGTTCATAAAAGGTTTTGGACAGTGATTTTAGCCCTCAAGCCAAAAACCTTAAATCTTACCATAGCCCCATAACCTAATACAGGTATTACCTTCAGGAAGCCCGAATACCCCAAATATTTTTTTTTCATTTTTCATTTTTGTTTTTGGTGTAACTAACTCACAAATGTTGGAAAAGAGTTCCTACAAAGGTTTTGGACAGTGATTTTGACCCTAACGCCAAAAACCTTAAACCTTACCCTAGCCCCATAACCTATTACCTTCAGGAAGCCCGAATACCCCAAATATTTTTTTTTTCATTTTTCATTATTATTTGGTCTAACTAACTCCAAAAGGTTGGAAAAGAGTTCCTACCAAGGTTTTGGACAGTGATTTTACCCCAACGCCAAAAACCTTAAACCTAACCTAGCCCCATAACCTAATACCCGGGTAATACCTTCAGGAAGCCGGAAAACCCCAAATATTTTTCTTCTTTTTTCTTTTTTTTTTTTGGTCTAACTAACTCCAAAAGGTTGGAAAAGAGTTCCTACAAAGGTTTTGGACAGTGATTTTAGCCCTCACGCCAAAAACCTTAAATCTTACCATAGCCCCATAACCTAATATGGGTATTACCTTCAGGAAGCCCAAATACCCCAAATATTTCTTTTTCATTTTTCATTTTTTTTTTTGGTGTAACTAACTCCAAAAGGTTGGAAAAGAGTTCCTACAAAGGTTTTGGACAGTGATTTTGACCCTAACGCCAAAAACGTTAAACCTTACCCTATTCCCAAAACCTAATACCTTCCGGAAGCCCGAAAACCCCAATTTTTTTAGGGCCCGAGCGTAGCTGCTAAGCAGCTGCGAGAGCCCTATTGTTCCTGTATGGGTTTTTCTTTCTTCTTTCTTTCTTCTTCTTTTTCCTCCCCTTTGAACTGGAAAATGGCCCACTTCCCACTGGCGAAAACTCATGAAATTTGGCAGGACGACCGGGCCTGGTGAAAAATTCGATATTCTGAAGTCGCCCAAACAATAAAATGCAAAACGGCTCCATAGCGCCCCCTAAGGTGAAAATTCACACTATTGACTGTCACGCCTGTACGCTTTGTCATATTGACACAAAAATTGACACACAGATGTATCTCAATAAGATCTACAAAAAAGTCAGTGCGGGCGTATCTGTCAAATGTACGGTTAAAGGGTTATTTCGCATTTTTTGCAAATCTGCACACATTGGAATTTCGCTAACTCCTCTGAAGGCTTTCGTTCCACTGGCACCACATTTGCTCAGGCCAATCTACACCCCATGGCCATTAAAAGTTGTACAAATCATGACGCTGCACCCCACGGTTTAGGTTCTAGGGGGCGCCAAAGATAACCCAAAAATCCACAGTCTTAAAAGTCTTATAACTTTTTATTTTTGTCCTCACTGGCCTCCAAGTTCTCTAGGATGATGCAATGTCCAGCAATTAACACATTTGTGAAGGAATTTTTACTCGCCAAAAGAGCGCCCCCCCATGGCAGGAGAAAAAAGTCCATTTTTTCTTGTCCCCTAAGGCGAAAATACACATTGTTGAGTGTCACGCCTGTACGCTTTGTCATATTGACACAAAATTTGACAATCAAGTGTATCTCAATAAGATCTACGAAAAAGTCAATGTGCGCGTATCTGTAAAATGTATGGTTAAAGGGCTATTTCGCATTTTTTGCCGATTCGCACACATTGGAATGTGGCTAACTCCTCCTAAAGCTTTCGTCCCACTGACACCACATTTGCTCAGGCAAATCTACACCCCATGGCTATTCAAAGTTGTAAAAATCATGACGCTGCACCCCACGGTTTACGTTCTAGGGGGCGCCAAAGAGGACCCAAATATCCACATTTTTAAAAGTCTTATAACTTTTTATTTTTGTCCTCACTGGCCTCCAAGTTTTCTAGGATGATGCAATGTCCAGCCATCAGCACATGTGTGAAGGAATTTTTACTCCCTAAAAGAGCGCCCCCCCATGGCAGGAGAAAAAAGTCCATTGTTTCTTTACCCCTAAGGTAAAAATACACATTGTTGAGTGTCACACCTATACGCTTTGTCATATTGACACAAAATTTGACAATCAAGTGTATCTCAATAAGATCTACGAAAAAGTCAATGCAGGCGTATCTGTCAAATGTACGGTTAAAGGGCTATTTCGCATTTTTTGCCAATTCGCACACATTTGAATGTGGCTAACTCCTCCTAAAGCTTTCGTCCCATCGGCACCAAATTTGCTCAGGCCAATCTACACCCCATGGCCATTCAAAGTTGTAAAAATCATGATGCTGCACCCCACGGTTTACGTTCTAGGGGGCGCCAAAGATAACCCAAAAATCCACATTTTCAAAAGTCTTATAACTTTTTATTTTTGTCCTCACTGGCCTCCAAGTTTTCTGGGATAATGCAATGTTCAGCCATCAACACAATTGTGAAGGAATTTTTACTCCCCAAAAGAGCGTCCCCCCATGGCCGGAGAAAAAGTCAAGTTGTTCCTGCCCATCGCTCAATGGCTTAAACGCATTGGTCTCTCGGCAAAACCGAAAGGAGGAGCAACTTGCCATTTGGATATATCTTAGCTGTGTTTGTGCCCTCACTCATGTTCCAGACTTTTTTCAAATAGGACATGGAGTTTGTCTGCAGCGAGCGTTTTGGTAGAAACTGCGTTTCCCATTCATTATAATGGGAAATGACCACAGACAAGTGCGCACACCATCTTTGGACCTTGAGTGTGACGCGATCGGGAGGGGTAGGCGGTCGCGCTGGGGGCGGCGCGACACGGCTCGGGCCCGCCAGTGCCCCAACGGGGCCCTAGTGTTTTTCTTTTTTCTTTTTTTTTTGGTCTAACTATCTCCAAAAGGTTGGAATAGAGTTCCTACAAAGGTTTTGGACAGTGATTTTAACCCCAACGCCAAAAACCTTAAACCTTCCCCTAGCCCCAAAACCTAATACATTCAGGAAGCCCGAAAACCCCAAATATTTTTTTTTCATTTTTCATTTTTTTTTTGGTGTAACTAACTCCAAAAGGTTGGAAAAGAGTTCATACAAAGGTTTTGGACAGTGATTTTAACCCCAATGCCAAAAACCTTAAACCTACCCTAGCCCCATAACCTAATTCCTGGGTAATACCTTCAGGAAGCCCGAAAACCCCAAATATTTTTTTTCTTTTTTCTTTTATTTTTGGTCTAACTAACTCCAAAAGGTTGGAAAAGAGTTCCTACAAAGGTTTTGGACAGTGATTTTAACCCCAACGCCAAAAACCTTAAACCTACCCTAGCCCCATAAACTAATACCCGGGTATTACCTTCAGGAAGCCCGAACACCCCAAATATTTTTTTTTTTCATTTTTCGTTATTTTTTGGTCCAACTAACTCCAAAAGGTCTGAAACATGTTCCAAAAAAGGTTTTGGACAGTGATTTTAACCCCAACGCCAAAAACCTTAAACCTACCCTAGCCCCATAACCTAATACCCGGGTAATACCTTCAGGAAGCCCGAAAACCCCAAATATTTTTTTTCTTTTTTCTTTTTTTTTTGGTCTAACTAACTCCAAAAGGTTGGAAAAGAGTTCCTACAAAGTTTTGGACAGTGATTTTAACCCTAACGCCAAAAACCTTAAACCATCCCCTATCCCAAAACCTAATACCTTCAGGAAGCCCGAAAACCCCAAATATTTTATTTTCATTTTTCATTTTTTTTTTTTTGGTGTAACTAACTCCAAAAGGTTGGAAAAGAGTTCCTACAAAGGTTTTGGACAGTGATTTTAACCCCAACGCCAAAAACCTTAAACCTACCCTAGCCCCATAACCTAATACCCGGGTAATACGTTCAGGAAGCCCGAAAACCCCAAATTTTTTTTTTTCATTTTTCATTGTTTTTTTTCGGTGTAACTTACTCCAAAAGGTTGGAAAAGAGTTCCTACAAAGGTTTTGGACAGTGATTTTAACCCTAACGCCAAAAACATTAAACCTTACCCTAGCCCCAAAACCTAATACGCGGGTATTACCTTCAGGAAGCCCGAAAACCCCAAATATTTATTTTCATTTTTCATTATTATTTGGTCTAACTAACTCCAAAATGTTGGAAAAGAGTTCCTACAAAGGTTTTGGACAGTGATTTTAACCCTAACGCCAAAAACCTTAAAACTTCCCCTAGCCCCAAAACCTAATACCCGGGTAATACCTTCAGGAAGCCCGAAAACCCCAAATATTTTTTTTTCATTTTTCATTGTTTTTTTTCGGTCTAACTTACTCCAAAAGGTTGGAAAAGAGTTCCTACAAAGGTTTTGGACTGTGATTTTAACCCCAACGCCAAAAGCCTTAAACCTACCCTAGCCCCATAACCTAATACCTTTAGGAAGCCCGAAAACCCCAAATATTTTTTTTTCATTTTTAATTATTATTTGGTCTAACTAACTCCAAAATGTTGGAAAAGAGTTCCTACAAAGGTTTTGGACAGTGATTTTAACCCTAACGCCAAAAACCTTAAACCTTCCTGTAGCCCCAAAACCTAATACCTTCAGGAATCCCGAAAACCCCAAATATTTTTTTTTCATTTTTCATTGTTTTTTTTGGTGTAACTATCTCAAAAAGGTTGGAAAAGAGTTCCTACAAAGGTTTTGGACAGTGATTTTAACCCCAACGCCAAAAACGTTAAACCTACCCTAGCCCCATAACCTAATATCGGGTAATACCTTCAGGAAGCCCGAAAACCCCAAATATTTTTTTTCTTTTTATTTTGGTCTAACTAACTCCAAAAGGTTGGAAAAGAGTTCCTACAAAGGTTTTGGACAGTGATTTTAACCCTAACGCCAAAAACATTAAACCTTACCCTAGCCCCAAAACCTAATATCGGGTAATACCTTCAGGAAGCCCGAAAACCCCAAATATTTTTTTTTCATTTTTCATTATTATTTGGTCTAACTAACTCCAAAATGTTGGAAAAGAGTTCCTACAAAGGTTTTGGACAGTGATTTTAACCCTAACGCCAAAAACCTTAAACCTTCCCCTAGCCCCAAAACCTAATACCCGGGTAATACCTTCAGGAAGCCCGAAAACCCCAAATATTTTTTTTTCATTTTTCATTGTTTTTTTTCGGTCTAACTTACTCCAAAAGGTTGGAAAAGAGTTCCTACAAAGGTTTTGGACTGTGATTTTAACCCTAACGCCAAAAACCTTAAACCATCCCCTATCCCAAAACCTAATACCTTCAGGAAGCCCGAAAACCCCAAATATTTTATTTTCATTTTTCTTTTTTTTTTTTTTTGGTGTAACTAACTCCAAAAGGTTGGAAAAGAGTTCCTACAAAGGTTTTGGACAGTGATTTTAACCCCAACGCCAAAAACCTTAAACCTACCCTAGCCCCATAACCTAATACCCGGGTAATACGTTCAGGAAGCCCGAACACCCCAAATATTTTTTTTTTTTCATTTTTCGTTATTTTTTGGTCTAACTAACTCCAAAAGGTCTGAAACATGTTCCTTAAAAGGTTTTGGACAGTGATTTTAACCCTAACGCCAAAAACCTTAAACCTTACCCTAGCCCCATAACCTAATACCCGGGTATTACCTTCAGGAAGCCCGAAAACCCCAAATATTTTTTTTCATTTTTCATTTTTTTTATTTTTTGGTGTAACTAACTCCAAAAGGTTGGAAAAGAGTTCCTACAAAGGTTTTGGACAGTGATTTTGAGCCTAACGCCAAAAACCTTAAACCTTACCATAGCCCCAAAACCAAATACCCAGGTATTACCTTCAGGAAGCCCGAATACCCCAAATATTATTTTTTCATTTTTCATTATTATTTGGTCTAACTAACTCCAAAAGGTTGGAAAAGAGTTCCTACAAAGGTTTTGGACAGTGATTTTAACCCTAACGCCAAAAACCTTAAACCTTTCCCTAGCCCCAAAACCTAATACCCGGGTATTACCTTCAGGAAGCCCGAAAACCCCAAATATTTTTTTTCTTTTCTTTTTTTTTTGGTCTAACTTACTCCAAAAGGTCTGAAACATGTTCCTAAAAAGGTTTTGGACAGTGATTTTAACCCTAACGCCAAAAACCTTAAACCTTAAACCTTACCCTAGCCCCATAACCTTTCGGAAGCCCGAAAACCCCAAATATTTTTTTTTCTTTTCTTTTTTTTTTTTGGTCTAACTAACTCCAAAAGGTTGGAAAAGAGTTCCTACAAAGGTTTTGGACAGTGATTTTGACCCTAACGCCAAAAACCTTAAACCTTTCCCTAGCCCCAAAACCTAATACCCGGGTATTACCTTCAGGTAGCCCGAAAACCCCAAATATTTTTTTCTTTTCTTTTTTTTTTTGGTCTAACTTACTCCAAAAGGTCTGAAACATGTTCCTAAAAGGTTTTGGACAGTGATTTTAACCCTAACGCCAAAAACCTTAAACCTTAAACCTTACCCTAGCCCCATAACCTTTCGGAAGCCCGAAAACCCCAAATATTTTTTTTCTTTTCTTTTTTTTTTTGTCTAACTAACTCCAAAAGGTTGGAAAAGAGTTCCTACAAAGGTTTTGGACAGTGATTTTGACCCTAACGCCAAAAACCTTAAACCTTACCATAGCCCCAAAACCAAATACCCGGGTATTACCTTCAGGAAGCCCGAATACCCCAAATATTTTTTTTTCATTTTTCATTATTATTTGGTCTAACTAACTCCAAAAGGTTGGAAAAGAGTTCCTACAAAGGTTTTGGACAGTAATTTTAACCCTAACGCCAAAAACCTTAAACCTTTTCCTAGCCCCATAACCTAATACCCGGGTATTACCTTCAGGAAGCCCGAATACCCCAAATATTTTTTTTTCATTTTTCATTATTATTTGGTCTAACTAACTCCAAAAGGTTGGAAAAGAGTTCCTACAAAGGTTTTGGACTGTGATTTTGAGCCTAACGCCAAAAACCTTAAACCTTACCATAGCCCCAAAACCAAATACCCGGGTATTACCTTCAGGAAGCCCGAATACCCCAAATATTTTTTTTTCATTTTTCATTATTATTTGGTCTAACTAACTCCAAAAGGTTGGAAAAGAGTTCCTACAAAGGTTTTGGACAGTGATTTTAACCCTAACGCCAAAAACCTTAAACCTTTCCCTAGCCCCAAAACCTAATACCCGGGTATTACCTTCAGGAAGCCCGAAAACCCCAAATATTTTTTTTCTTTTCTTTTTTTTGGTCTAACTTACTCCAAAAGGTCTGAAACATGTTCCTAAAAAGGTTTTGGACAGTGATTTTAACCCTAACACCAAAAACCTTAAACCTTACCCTAGCCCCATAACCTAATACCCGGGTATTACCTTCAGGAAGCCCGAAAACCCCAAATATTTTTTTTTCTTTTCTTTTTTTTTTTTTGGTCTAACTAACTCCAAAAGGTTGGAAAAGAGTTCCTACAAAGGTTTTGGACAGTGATTTTGACCCTAACGCCAAAAACGTTAAACCTTACCTTAGCCCCAAAACGTAATACGGGTATTACCTTCAGGAAGCCCGAAGACCCCAAGTATTTTTTTTTTCATTTTTCGTTATTTTTTTGGTCTAACTAACTCCAAAAGGTCTGAAACATGTTCCAAAAAAGGTTTTGGACAGTGATTTTAACCCTAACGGCAAAAACCTTAAACCTTACCCTAGCCCCATAACCTAATACGGGTATTACCTTCAGGAAGCCGGAAAACCCCAAATATTTTTTTTTCTATTTTCTTTTTTTTTGGTCTAACCATCTCCAAAAGGTTTGAAAAGAGTTCCTACAAAGGTTTTGGACAGTGATTTTAACCCTAACGCCAAAAACCTTAAACCTTCCCCTAGCCCCATAACCTAATACCCGGGTAATACCTTCAGGAAGCCCGAAAACCCCAAATATTTTTTTTCTTTGTTCTTATTTTTTTGGTCTAACTAACTCCAAAAGGTTGGAAAAGAGTTCCTACAAAGGTTTTGGACAGTGATTTTGACCCTAACGCCAAAAACCTTAAACCTTACCCTAGCCCCAAAACCAAATACCCGGGTATTACCTTCAGGAAGCCCGAAAACCCCAAATATTTTTTTTTCATTTTTCATTATTATTTGGTCTAACTAACTCCAAAAGGTTGGAAAAGAGTTCCTACAAAGGTTTTGGACAGTGATTTTAACCCTAACGCCAAAAACCTTAAACCTTTCCCTAGCCCCAAAACCTAATACCCGGGTATTACCTTCAGGAAGCCCGAAAACCCCAAATATTTTTTTTCTTTTCTTTTTTTTGGTCTAACTTACTCCAAAAGGTTGGAAAAGAGTTCCTACAAAGGTTTTGGACAGTGATTTTGACCCTAACGCCAAAAACCTTAAACCTTACCCTAGCCCCAAAACCAAATACCCGGGTATTACCTTCAGGAAGCCCGAAAACCCCAAATATTTTTTTCATTTTTTTTATTTTTGGTCTAACTAACTCCAAAAGGTTGGAAAAGAGTTCCTACAAAGGTTTTGGACAGTGATTTTAACCCTAACGCCAAAAACCTTAAACCTTACCCTAGCCCCAAAACCTAATACCCGGGTATTACCTTCAGGAAGCCCGAAAACCCCAAATATTTTTTTTTCTTTTCTTTTTTTTTTGGTCTAACTAACTCCAAAAGGTTGGAAAAGAGTTCCTACAAAGGTTTTGGACAGTGATTTTAACCCTAACGCCAAAAACCTTAAACCTTACCCTAGCCCCATAACCAAATACCCGGGTATTACCTTCAGGAAGCCTGAAAACCCCAAATATTTTTTTTTCTTTTTTTTTTTGGTCTAACTTACTCCAAAAGGTTGCAAAAGAGTTTCTACAAGGGTTTTGGACAGTGATTTTAACCCCAACGCCAAAAACCTTAAACCTTACCCTAGCCCCAAAACCTAACACGCGGGTATTACCTTCAGGAAGCCCGAAAACCCCAAATATTTTTTTTTCTTTTCTTTTTTTTTTTGGTCTAACTTACTCCAAAAGGTCTGAAACATGTTCCTTAAAAGGTTTTGGACAGTGATTTTAACCCTAACGCCAAAAACCTTAAACCTTTCCCTAGCCCCAAAACCTAATACCCGGGTATTACCTTCAGGAAGCCCGAAAACCCCAAATATTTTTTTTTCTTTTCTTTTTTTTTTTGGTCTAACTAACTCCAAAAGGTTGGAAAAGAGTTCCTACAAAGGTTTTGGACAGTGATTTTAACCCTAACGCCAAAAACCTTAAACCTTACCCTAGCCCCATAACCAAATACCCGGGTATTACCTTCAGGAAGCCCGAAAACCCCAAATATTTTTTTTTCTTTTTTTTTTGGTCTAACTTACTCCAAAAGGTTGGAAAAGAGTTTCTACAAGGGTTTTGGACAGTGATTTTAACCCCAACGCCAAAAACCTTAAACCTTACCCTAGCCCCAAAACCTAATACGCGGGTATTACCTTCAGGAAGCCCGAAAACCCCAAATATTTTTTTTTTCATTTTTTATAATTTTTTTGGTGTAACTATCTCCAAAATGTTGGGAAAGAGTTCCTACAAAGGTTTTGGACAGTGATTTTAACCCTAACGCCAAAAACCTTAAACCTTCCCCTAGCCCCAAAACCTAATACCTTCAGGAAGCCCGAAAACCCCAAATATTTTTTTTTCATTTTTCATTTTTTTTTGGTCTAACTAACTCCAAAAGGTTGGAAAAGAGTTCCTAAAAAGGTTTTGGACAGTGATTTTGACCCTAACGCCAAAAACCTTAAACCTTACCCTAGCCCCAAAACCTAATACCCGGGTATTTCCTTCAGGAAGCCCGAACACCCCAAATATATTTTTTTTCATTTTTCGTTATTTTTTGGTCTAACTAACTCCAAAAGGTCTGAAACATGTTCCTTAAAAGGTTTTGGACAGTGATTTTAACCCTAACGCCAAAAACCTTAAACCTTACCCTAGCCCCATAACCTAATACCCGGGTATTACCTTCAGGAAGCCCGAAAACCCCAAATATTTTTCTTCTTTTTTCTTTTTTTTTTTTGGTCTAACTAACTCCAAAAGGTTGGAAAAGAGTTCCTACAAAGGTTTTGGACAGTGATTTTAGCCCTCACGCCAAAAACCTTAAATCTTACCATAGCCCCATAACCTAATATGGGTATTACCTTCAGGAAGCCCAAATACCCCAAATATTTCTTTTTCATTTTTCTTTTTTTTTTTTGGTGTAACTAACTCCAAAAGGTTGGAAAAGAGTTCCTACAAAGGTTTTGGACAGTGATTTTGACCCTAACGCCAAAAACGTTAAACCTTACCCTATTCCCAAAACCTAATACCTTCCGGAAGCCCGAAAACCCCAATTTTTTTAGGGCCCGAGCGTAGCTGCTAAGCAGCTGCGACAGCCCTATTGTTCCTGTATGGGTTTTTCTTTCTTCTTTCTTTCTTCTTCTTTTTCCTCCCCTTTGAACTGGAAAATGGCCCACTTCCCACTGGCGAAAACTCATGAAATTTGGCAGGACGACCGGGCCTGGTGAAAAATTCGATATTCTGAAGTCGCCCAAACAATAAAATGCAAAACGGCTCCATAGCGCCCCCTAAGGTGAAAATTCACACTATTGACTGTCACGCCTGTACGCTTTGTCATATTGACACAAAAATTGACACACAGATGTATCTCAATAAGATCTACAAAAAAGTCAGTGCGGGCGTATCTGTCAAATGTACGGTTAAAGGGTTATTTCGCATTTTTTGCAAATCTGCACACATTGGAATTTCGCTAACTCCTCTGAAGGCTTTCGTTCCACTGGCACCACATTTGCTCAGGCCAATCTACACCCCATGGCCATTAAAAGTTGTACAAATCATGACGCTGCACCCCACGGTTTAGGTTCTAGGGGGCGCCAAAGATAACCCAAAAATCCACAGTCTTAAAAGTCTTATAACTTTTTATTTTTGTCCTCACTGGCCTCCAAGTTCTCTAGGATGATGCAATGTCCAGCAATTAACACATTTGTGAAGGAATTTTTACTCGCCAAAAGAGCGCCCCCCCCCATGGCAGGAGAAAAAAGTCCATTTTTTCTTGTCCCCTAAGGCGAAAATACACATTGTTGAGTGTCACGCCTGTACGCTTTGTCATATTGACACAAAATTTGACAATCAAGTGTATCTCAATAAGATCTACGAAAAAGTCAATGTGCGCGTATCTGTAAAATGTATGGTTAAAGGGCTATTTCGCATTTTTTGCCGATTCGCACACATTGGAATGTGGCTAACTCCTCCTAAAGCTTTCGTCCCACTGACACCACATTTGCTCAGGCAAATCTACACCCCATGGCTATTCAAAGTTGTAAAAATCATGACGCTTCACCCCACGGTTTACGTTCTAGGGGGCGCCAAAGAGGACCCAAATATCCACATTTTTAAAAGTCTTATAACTTTTTATTTTTGTCCTCACTGGCCTCCAAGTTTTCTAGGATGATGCAATGTCCAGCCATCAGCACATGTGTGAAGGAATTTTTACTCCCTAAAAGAGAGCCCCCCCATGGCAGGAGAAAAAAGTCCATTGTTTCTTTACCCCTAAGGTAAAAGTACACATTGTTGAGTGTCACACCTATACGCTTTGTCATATTGACACAAATTTTGACAATCAAGTGTATCTCAATAAGATCTACGAAAAAGTCAATGCAGGCGTATCTGTCAAATGTTCGGTTAAAGGGCTATTTCGCATTTTTTGCCAATTCGCACACATTTGAATGTGGCTAACTCCTCCTAAAGCTTTCGTCCCATCGGCACCAAATTTGCTCAGGCCAATCTACACCCCATGGCCATTCAAAGTTGTAAAAATCATGATGCTGCACCCCACGGTTTACGTTCTAGGGGGCGCCAAAGATAACCCAAAAATCCACATTTTCAAAAGTCTTATAACTTTTTATTTTTGTCCTCACTGGCCTCCAAGTTTTCTGGGATAATGCAATGTTCAGCCATCAACACAATTGTGAAGGAATTTTTACTCCCCAAAAGAGCGTCCCCCCATGGCCGGAGAAAAAGTCAAGTTGTTCCTGCCCATCGCTCAATGGCTTAAACGCATTGCTCTCTCGGCAAAACCGAAAGGAGGAGCAACTTGCCATTTGGATATATCTTAGCTGTGTTTGTGCCCTCACTCATGTTCCAGACTTTTTTCAAATAGGACATGGAGTTTGTCTGCAGCGAGCGTTTTGGTAGAAACTGCGCCTCCAATTCATTATAATGGGAAATGACCACAGACAAGTGCGCACACCATCTTTGGACCTTGAGTGTGACGCGATCGGGAGGGGTAGGCGGTCGCGCTGGGGGCGGCGCGACACGGCTCGGGCCCGCCAGTGCCCCAACGGGGCCCTAGTGTTTTTCTTTTTTTTTTTTTTTTGGTCTAACTATCTCCAAAAGGTTGGAATAGAGTTCCTACAAAGGTTTTGGACAGTGATTTTAACCCCAACGCCAAAAACCTTAAACCTTCCCCTAGCCCCAAAACCTAATACATTCAGGAAGCCCGAAAACCCCAAATATTTTTTTTTCATTTTTCATTTTTTTTTTGGTGTAACTAACTCCAAAAGGTTGGAAAAGAGTTCATACAAAGGTTTTGGACAGTGACTTTAACCCCAATGCCAAAAACCTTAAACCTACCCTAGCCCCATAACCTAATTCCTGGGTAATACCTTCAGGAAGCCCGAAAACCCCAAATATTTTTTTTCTTTTTTCTTTTATTTTTGGTCTAACTAACTCCAAAAGGTTGGAAAAGAGTTCCTACAAAGGTTTTGGACAGTGATTTTAACCCCAACGCCAAAAACCTTAAACCTACCCTAGCCCCATAAACTAATACCCGGGTATTACCTTCAGGAAGCCCGAACACCCCAAATATTTTTTTTTTTCATTTTTCGTTATTTTTTGGTCCAACTAACTCCAAAAGGTCTGAAACATGTTCCAAAAAAGGTTTTGGACAGTGATTTTAACCCTAACGCCAAAAACCTTAAACCTACCCTAGCCCCATAACCTAATACCCGGGTAATACCTTCAGGAAGCCCGAAAACCCCAAATATTTTTTTTCTTTTTGCTTTTTTTTTTGGTCTAACTAACTCCAAAAGGTTGGAAAAGAGTTCCTACAAAGTTTTGGACAGTGATTTTAACCCTAACGCCAAAAACCTTAAACCATCCCCTATCCCAAAACCTAATACCTTCAGGAAGCCCGAAAACCCCAAATATTTTATTTTCATTTTTCATTTTTTTTTTTTTTTGGTGTAACTAACTCCAAAAGGTTGGAAAAGAGTTCCTACAAAGGTTTTGGACAGTGATTTTAACACCAACGCAGAAAACCTTAAACCTACCCAAGCCCCATAACCTAATACCCGGGTAATACCTTCAGGAAGCCCGAAAACCCCAAATTTTTTTTTTTATTTTTCATTTTTTTTTGGTCTAACTTACTCCAAAAGGTTGGAAAAGAGTTCCTACAAAGGTTTTGGACAGTGATTTTAACCCCAACGCCAAAAACATTAAACCTTACCCTAGCCCCAAAACCAAATACGCGGGTATTACCTTCACGAAGCCCGAAAACCCCAAATATTTTTTTTGCATTTTTCATTATTATTTGGTCTAACTAACTCCAAAATGTTGGGAAAGAGTTCCTACAAAGGTTTTGGACAGTGATTTTAACCCTAACACCAAAAACCTTAAACCTTCCCCTAGCCCCAAAACCTAATACCTTCAGGAAGCCCGAAAACCCCAAATATTTTTTCTTCATTTTTCATTTTTTATTGGTCTAACTAACTCCAAAAGGTTGGAAAAGAGTTCCTACAAAGGTTTTGGACAGTGATTTTGACCCTAACGCCAAAAACGTTAAACCTTACCTTAGCCCCAAAACGTAATACGGGTATTACCTTCAGGAAGCCCGAAAACCCCAAATTTTTTTTTTCTTTTTTCTTTTTTTTTGGTCTAACCATCTCCAAAAGGTTGGAAAAGAGTTCCTACAAAGATTTTGGACAGTGATTTTAACCCTAATGCCAAAAACCTTAAACCTTCCCCTAGCCCCAAAACCTAATACCCGGGTAATACCTTCAGGAAGCCGAAAACCCCAAATTTTTTTTTTTCATTTTTCATTGTTTTTTTTCGGTGAAACTTACTCCAAAAGGTTGGAAAAGAGTTCCTACAAAGGTTTTGGACAGTGATTTTAACCCTAACGCCAAAAACCTTGGACCTTACCCTAGCCCCATAACCTAATACCCGGGTATTACCTTCAGGAAGCCCGAAAACCCCAAATACTTTTTTTCTTTTTTCTTTTTTTTTTGGTCTAACTAACTCCAAAAGGTTGGAAAAGAGTTCCTACAAAGGTTTTGGACAGTGATTTTGACCCAAACGCCAAAAACCTTAAACCTTACCATAGCCCGAAAACCAAATACCCGGGTATTACCTTCATGAAGCCCGAATACCCCAAATATTTTTTTTTCATTTTTCATTATTATTTGGTCTAACTAACTCCAAAAGGTTGGAAAAGAGTTCCTACAAAGGTTTTGGACAGTGATTTTGACCCCAACGCCAAAAACCTTAAACCTACCGTAGCCCCAAAACCTAATACGCGGGTATTACCTTCAGGAAGCCCGAACACCCCAAATATTTTTTTTTCATTTTTCGTTATTTTTTGGTCTTACTAACTGCAAAAGGTCTGAAACATGTTCCTAAAAAGGTTTTGGACAGTGATTTTAACCCTAACGCCAAAAACCTTAAACCTTTCCCTAGCCCCAAAACCTAATACCCGGGTATTACCTTCAGGAAGCCCGAAAACCCCAAATATTTTTTTTTCTTTTCTTTTTTATTTTTTGGTCTAACTTACTCCAAAAGGTCTGAAACATGTTCCTTAAAAGGTTTTGGACAGTGATTTTAACCCTAACGCCAAAAACCTTAAACCTTACCCTAGCCCCATAACCTAATACCCGGGTATTACCTTCAGGAAGCCCGAAAACCCCAAATATTTTTTTTCTTTTCTTTTTTTTTTTGGTCTAACTTACTCCAAAAGGTTGGAAAAGAGTTCCTACAAAGGTTTTGGACAGTGATTTTAACCCCAACGCCAAAAACATTAAACCTTACCCTAGCCCCAAAACCAAATACGCGGGTATTACCTTCACGAAGCCCGAAAACCCCAAATATTTTTTTCTTTTTTCTTTTTTTTTTGGTCTAACTAACTCCAAAAGGTTGGAAAAGAGTTCCTACAAAGGTTTTGGACAGTGATTTTGACCCTAACGCCAAAAACCTTAAACCTTACCATAGCCCGAAAACCAAATACCCGGGTATTACCTTCAGGAAGCCCGAATACCCCAAATATTTTTTTTTCATTTTTCATTATTATTTGGTCTAACTAACTCCAAAAGGTTGGAAAAGAGTTCCTACAAAGGTTTTGGACAGTGATTTTGACCCCAACGCCAAAAACCTTAAACCTACCGTAGCCCCAAAACCTAATACGCGGGTATTACCTTCAGGAAGCCCGAAAACCCCACATATTTTTTTTTCATTTTTCATTATTATTTAGTCTAACTTACTCCAAAAGGTTGGAAAAGAGTTCCTACAAAAGTTTTGGACAGTGATTTTAACCCTAACGCCAAAAACGTTAAACCTTCCCCTAGCCCCAAAACCTAATACGTGGGTATTACCTTCAGGAATCCCAAAAACCCCAAATATTTTTTTTCTTTTTTCTTTTTTTTTTGGTCTAACTAACTCCAAAAGGTTGGAAAAGAGTTCCTACAAAGGTTTTGGACAGTGATTTTGACCCTAACGCCAAAAACCTTAAACCTTACCATAGCCCGAAAACCAAATACCCGGGTATTACCTTCAGGAAGCCGGAATACCCCAAATATTTTTTTTTTCATTTTTCATTATTATTTGGTCTAACTAACTCCAAAAGGTTGGAAAAGAGTTCCTACAAAGGTTTTGGACAGTGATTTTATCCCTAACGCCAAAAACCTTAAACCTTTCCCTAGCCCCAAAACCTAATACCCGGGTATTACCTTCAGGAAGCCCGAACACCCCAAATATTTTTTTTTTCATTTTTCGTTATTTTTTGGTCTTACTAACTCCAAAAGGTCTGAAACATGTTCCTAAAAAGGTTTTGGACAGTGATTTTAACCCTAACGCCAAAAACCTTAAACCTTTCCCTAGCCCCAAAACCTAATACCCGGGTATTACCTTCAGGAAGCCCGAAAACCCCAAATATTTTTTTTTCTTTTCTTTTTTATTTTTTGGTCTAACTTACTCCAAAAGGTCTGAAACATGTTCCTTAAAAGGTTTTGGACAGTGATTTTAACCCTAACGCCAAAAACCTTAAACCTTACCATAGCCCGAAAACCAAATACCCGGGTATTACCTTCAGGAAGCCCGAATACCCCAAATATTTTTTTTTTCATTTTTCATTATTATTTGGTCTAACTAACTCCAAAAGGTTGGAAAAGAGTTCCTACAAAGGTTTTGGACAGTGATTTTAACCCCAACGCCAAAAACCTTAAACCTTACCCTAGCCCCATAACCTAATACCCAGGTATTACCTTCAGGAAGCCCGAAAACCCCAAATATTTTTTTCTTTTTTCTTTTTTTTTGGTCTAACTAACTCCAAAAGGTTGGAAAAGAGTTCCTACAAAGGTTTTGGACAGTGATTTTGACCCTAACGCCAAAAACCTTAAACCTTACCATAGCCCGAAAACCAAATACCCGGGTATTACCTTCAGGAAGCCCGAATACCCCAAATATTTTTTTTTCATTTTTCATTATTATTTGGTCTAACTAACTCCAAAAGGTTGGAAAAGAGTTCCTACAAAGGTTTTGGACAGTGATTTTGACCCCAACGCCAAAAACCTTAAACCTACCGTAGCCCCAAAACCTAATACGCGGGTATTACCTTCAGGAAGCCCGAAAACCCCAAATATTTTTTTTTCATTTGTCATTATTATTTTGTCTAACTTACTCCAAAAGGTTGGAAAAGAGTTCCTACAAAAGTTTTGGACAGTGATTTTAACCCTAACGCCAAAAACCTTAAACCTTCCCCTAGCCCCAAAACCTAATACGTGGGTATTACCTTCAGGAATCCCAAAAACCCAAAATATTTTTTTTCTTTTTTCTTTTTTTTTTTTGGTTTAACTAACTCCAAAAGGTTGGAAAAGAGTTCCTACAAAGGTTTTGGACAGTGATTTTGACCCTAACGCCAAAAACCTTAAACCTTACCATAGCCCGAAAACCAAATACCCGGGTATTACCTTCAGGAAGCCCGAATACCCCAAATATTTTTTTTTTCATTTTTCATTATTATTTGGTCTAACTAACTCCAAAAGGTTGGAAAAGAGTTCCTACAAAGGTTTTGGACAGTGATTTTATCCCTAACGCCAAAAACCTTAAACCTTTCCCTAGCCCCAAAACCTAATACCCGGGTATTACCTTCAGGAAGCCCGAACACCCCAAATATTTTTTTTTCTTTTCTTTTTTATTTTTTGGTCTAACTTACTCCAAAAGGTCTGAAACATGTTCCTTAAAAGGTTTTGGACAGTGATTTTAACCCTAACGCCAAAAACCTTAAACCTTACCCTAGCCCCATAACCTAATACCCGGGTATTACCTTCAGGAAGCCCGAAAACCCCAAATATTTTTTTTTCTTTTCTTTTTTTTTTTGGTCTAACTTACTCCAAAAGGTTGGAAAAGAGTTCCTACAAAGGTTTTGGACAGTGATTTTAACCCCAACGCCAAAAACATTAAACCTTACCCTAGCCCCAAAACCAAATACGCGGGTATTACCTTCACGAAGCCCGAAAACCCCAAATATTTTTTTTTCATTTTTCATTGTTTTTTTCGGTGAAACTTACTCCAAAAGGTTGGAAAAGAGTTCCTACAAAGGTTTTGGACAGTGATTTTAACCCCAACGCCAAAAACCTTAAACCTTACCCTAGCCCCATAACCTAATACCCGGGTATTACCTTAAGGAAGCCCGAAAACCCCAAATATTTTTTTCTTTTTTCTTTCTTTTTTGGTCTAACTAACTCCAAAAGGTTGGAAAAGAGTTCCTACAAAGGTTTTGGACAGTGATTTTGACCCTAACGCCAAAAACCTTAAACCTTACCATAGCCCGAAAACCAAATACCCGGGTATTACCTTCAGGAAGCCCGAATACCCCAAATATTTTTTTTTCATTTTTCATTATTATTTGGTCTAACTAACTCCAAAAGGTTGGAAAAGAGTTCCTACAAAGGTTTTGGACAGTGATTTTGACCCCAACGCCAAAAACCTTAAACCTACCGTAGCCCCAAAACCTAATACGCGGGTATTACCTTCAGGAAGCCCGAAAACCCCACATATTTTTTTTTCATTTTTCATTATTATTTAGTCTAACTTACTCCAAAAGGTTGGAAAAGAGTTCCTACAAAAGTTTTGGACAGTGATTTTAACCCTAACGCCAAAAACCTTAAACCTTCCCCTAGCCCCAAAACCTAATACGTGGGTATTACCTTCAGGAATCCCAAAAACCCCAAATATTTTTTTTCTTTTTTCTTTTTTTTTTGGTCTAACTAACTCCAAAAGGTTGGAAAAGAGTTCCTACAAAGGTTTTGGACAGTGATTTTGACCCTAACGCCAAAAACCTTAAACCTTACCATAGCCCGAAAACCAAATACGTGGGTATTACCTTAAGGAAGCCCGAACACCCCAAATATTTTTTTTTTCATTTTTCGTTATTTTTTGGTCTTACTAACTGCAAAAGGTCTGAAACATGTTCCTAAAAAGGTTTTGGACAATGATTTTAACCCTAACGCCAAAAACCTTAAACCTTTCCCTAGCCCCAAAACCTAATACCCGGGTATTACCTTCAGGAAGCCCGAAAACCCCAAATATTTTTTTTTCTTTTCTTTTTTATTTTTTGGTCTAACTTACTCCAAAAGGTCTGAAACATGTTCCTTAAAAGGTTTTGGACAGTGATTTTAACCCTAACGCCAAAAACCTTAAACCTTACCCTAGCCCCATAACCTAATACCCTGGTATTACCTTCAGGAAGCCCGAAAACCCCAAATATTTTTTTTTCTTTTCTTTTTTTTTTTTGGTCTAACTTACTCCAAAAGGTTGGAAAAGAGTTCCTACAAAGGTTTTGGACAGTGATTTTAACCCCAACGCCAAAAACATTAAACCTTACCCTAGCCCCAAAACAAAATACGCGGGTATTACCTTCACGAAGCCCGAAAACCCCAAATATTTTTTTCTTTTTTCTTTTTTTTTTGGTCTAACTAACTCCAAAAGGTTGGAAAAGAGTTCCTACAAAGGTTTTGGACAGTGATTTTGACCCTAACGCCAAAAACCTTAAACCTTACCATAGCCCCAAAACCAAATACCCGGGTATTACCTTCAGGAAGCCCGAATACCCCAAATATTTTTTTTTCATTTTTCATTATTATTTGGTCTAACTAACTCCAAAAGGTTGGAAAAGAGTTCCTACAAAGGTTTTGGACAGTGATTTTAACCCCAACGCCAAAAACATTAAACCTTACCCTAGCCCCAAAACCAAATACGCGGGTATTACCTTCAGGAAGCCCGAAAACCCCAAATATTTTTTTTGCATTTTTCATTATTATTTGGTCTAACTAACTCCAAAATATTGGGAAAGAGTTCCTACAAAGGTTTTGGACAGTGATTTTAACCCCAACGCCAAAAACATTAAACCTTACCCTAGCCCCAAAACCAAATACCTTCAGGAAGCCCGAAAACCCCAAAAATTTTTTCTTCATTCTTCATTTTTTATTGGTCTAACTAACTCCAAAAGGTTGGAAAAGAGTTCCTACAAAGGTTTTGGACAGTGATTTTGACCCTAACGCCAAAAACGTTAAACCTTACCTTAGCCCGAAAACCAAATACCCGGGTATTACCTTCAGGAAGCCCGAAAACCCCAAATATTTTTTTTTCATTTTTCTTTTTTTTTTGGTCTAACCATCTCCAAAAGGTTGGAAAAGAGTTCCTACAAAGGTTTTGGACAGTGATTTTAACCCTAACGCCAAAAACCTTGAACCTTCCCCTAGCCCCAAAACCTAATACGCGGGTATTACCTTCAGGAAGCCCGAAAACCCCAAATATTTTTTTTTCATTTTTCATTATTATTTGGTCTAACTTACTCCAAAAGGTTGGAAAAGAGTTCCTACAAAAGTTTTGGACAGTGATTTTAACCCTAACGCCAAAAACGTTAAACCTTCCCCTAGCCCCAAAACCTAATACGTGGGTATTACCTTCAGGAATCCCAAAAACCCCAAATATTTTTTTTCTTTTTTCTTTTTTTTTTGGTCTAACTAACTCCAAAAGGTTGGAAAAGAGTTCCTACAAAGGTTTTGGACAGTGATTTTGACCCTAACGCCAAAAACCTTAAACCTTACCATAGCCCCGAAAACCAAATACCCGGGTATTACCTTCAGGAAGCCCGAATACCCCAAATATTTTTTTTTTCATTTTTCATTTTTATTTGGTCTAACTAACTCCAAAAGGTTGGAAAAGAGTTCCTACAAAGGTTTTGGACAGTGATTTTAACCCTAACGCCAAAAACCTTAAACCTTTCCCTAGCCCCAAAACCTAATACCCGGGTATTACCTTCAGGAAGCCCGAACACCCCAAATATTTTTTTTTTCATTTTTCGTTATTTTTTGGTCTTACTAACTCCAAAAGGTCTGAAACATGTTCCTAAAAAGGTTTTGGACAGTGATTTTAACCCTAACGCCAAAAACCTTAAACCTTTCCCTAGCCCCAAAACCTAATACCCGGGTATTACCTTCAGGAAGCCCGAAAACCCCAAATATTTTTTTTTCTTTTCTTTTTTTTTTTTGGTCTAACTTACTCCAAAAGGTTGGAAACATGTTCCTTAAAAGGTTTTGGACAGTGATTTTAACCCTAACGCCAAAAACCTTAAACCTTACCCTAGCCCCATAACCTAATACCCGGGTATTACCTTCAGGAAGCCCGAAAATCCCAAATATTCTTTATTCTTTTCTTTTTTTTTTTGGTCTAACTTACTCCAAAAGGTTGGAAAAGAGTTCCTACAAAGGTTATGGACAGTGATTTTAACCCCAACGCCAAAAACCTTAAACCTTTCCCTAGCCCCATAACCTAATACCCAGGTATTACCTTCAGGAAGCCCGAAAACCCCAAATATTTTTTTCTTTTTTCTTTTTTTTTGGTCTAACTAACTCCAAAAGGTTGGAAAAGAGTTCCTACAAAGGTTTTGGACAGTGATTTTGACCCTAACGCCAAAAACCTTAAACCTTACCATAGCCCGAAAACCAAATACCCGGGTATTACCTTCAGGAAGCCCGAATACCCCAAATATTTTTTTTTCATTTTTCATCATTATTTGGTCTAACTAACTCCAAAAGGTTGGAAAAGAGTTCCTACAAAGGTTTTGGACAGTGATTTTGACCCCAACGCCCAAAACCTTAAACCTACCGTAGCCCCAAAACCTAATACGCGGGTATTACCTTCAGGAAGCCCGAAAACCCCAAATATTTTTTTTTCATTTTTCATTATTATTTTGTCTAACTTACTCCAAAAGGTTGGAAAAGAGTTCCTACAAAAGTTTTGGACAGTGATTTTAACCCTAACGCCAAAAACCTTAAACCTTCCCCTAGCCCCAAAACCTAATACGTGGGTATTACCTTCAGGAATCCCAAAAACCCCAAATATTTTTTTTCTTTTTTCTTTTTTTTTTGGTCTAACTAACTCCAAAAGGTTGGAAAAGAGTTCCTACAAAGGTTTTGGACAGTGATTTTGACCCTAACGCCAAAAACCTTAAACCTTACCATAGCCCGAAAACCAAATACCCGGGTATTACTTTCAGGAAGCCCAAATACCCCAAATATTTTTTTTTTCATTTTTCATTATTATTTGGTCTAACTAACTCCAAAAGTTTGGAAAAGAGTTCCTACAAAGGTTTTGGACAGTGATTTTATCCCTAACGCCAAAAACCTTAAACCTTTCCCTAGCCCCAAAACCTAATACCCGGGTATTACCTTCAGGAAGCCCGAACACCCCAAATATTTTTTTTTTCATTTTTCGTTATTTTTTGGTCTTACTAACTCCAAAAGGTCTGAAACATGTTCCTAAAAAGGTTTTGGACAGTGATTTTAACCCTAACGCCAAAAACCTTAAACCTTTCCCTAGCCCCAAAACCTAATACCCGGGTATTACCTTCAGGAAGCCCGAAAACCCCAAATATTTTTTTTTCTTTTCTTTTTTTTTTTGGTCTAACTTACTCCAAAAGGTCTGAAACATGTTCCTTAAAAGGTTTTGGACAGTGATTTTAACCCTAACGCCAAAAACCTTAAACCTTACCCTAGCCCCATAACCTAATACCCTGGTATTACCTTCAGGAAGCCCGAAAACCCCAAATATTTTTTTTTCTTTTCTTTTTTTTTTTGGTCTAACTAACTCCAAAAGGTTGGAAAAGAGTTCCTACAAAGGTTTTGGACAGTGATTTTGACCCTAACGCCAAAAACGTTAAACCTTACCTTAGCCCCAAAACGTAATACGGGTATTACCTTCAGGAAGCCCGAAAACCCCAAATATTTTTTTTTCTTTTTTCTTTTTTTTTTTGGTCTAACCATCTCCAAAAGGTTGGAAAAGAGTTCCTACAAAGGTTTTGGACAGTGATTTTAACCCTAACGCCAAAAACCTTAAACCTTCCCCTAGCCCCAAAACCTAATACGCGGGTATTACCTTCAGGAAGCCCGAAAACCCCAATTTTTTTTTTTTCATTTTTCATTATTATTTGGTCTAATTAACTCCAAAATGTTGGAAAAGAGTTCCTACAAAGGTTTTGGACAGTGATTTTAACCCCAACGCCAAAAACCTTAAACCTTCCCCTAGCCCCAAAACCTAATACCCGGGTAATACCTTCAGGAAGCCCGAAAACCCCAAATATTTTTTTTTCATTTTTCATTGTTTTTTTTCGGTGAAACTTACTCCAAAAGGTTGGAAAAGAGTTCCTACAAAGGTTTTGGACAGTGATTTTAACCCCAACGCCAAAAACCTTAAACCTACCCTAGCCCCATAAACTAATACCTTCAGGAATCCCGAAAACCCCAAATATTTTTTTTTCATTTTTCATTATTATTTGGTGTAACTAACTCCAAAATGTTGGAAAAGAGTTCCTACAAAGGTTTTGGACAGTGATTTTAACCCTTACGCCAAAAACCTTAAACCTTCCCGTAGCCCCAAAACCTAATACCTTCAAGAAGCCCGAAAACCCCAAATATATTTTTTTCATTTTTTTTTTGTTTTTTTTGGTGTAACTATCTCCAAAAGGTTGGAAAAGAGTTCCTACAAAGGTTTTGGACAGTGATTTTAAGCCCAACGCCAAAAACCTTAAACCTACCGTAGCCCCAAAACCTAATACGCGGGTATTACCTTCAGGAAGCCCGAAAACCCCAAATATTTTTTTTTCATTTTTCATTATTATTTAGTCTAACTACCTCCAAAATGTTGGAAAAGAGTTCCTACAAAAGTTTTGGACAGTGATTTTAACCCTAACGCCAAAAACCTTAAACCTTACCCTAGCCCTATAACCTAATACCTAATTTTATTACCTTCAGGAAGCCCGAAAACCCCAAATATTTTTTTTTCTTTTCTTTTTTTTTTTGGTCTAACTAACTCCAAAAGGTTGGAAAAGAGTTCCTACAAAGGTTTTGGACAGTGATTTTGACCCTAACGCCAAAAACCTTAAACCTTACCATAGCCCGAAAACCAAATACCCGGGTATTACCTTCAGGAAGCCCGAATACCCCAAATATTTTTTTTTCATTTTTCATTATTATTTGGTCTAACTAACTCCAAAAGGTTGGAAAAGAGTTCCTACAAAGGTTTTGGACAGTGATTTTAACCCTAACGCCAAAAACCTTAAACCTTCCCCTAGCCCCAAAACCTAATACGCGGGTATTACCTTCAGGAAGCCCGAAAACCCCAAATATTTTTTTTTCATTTTTCATTTTTTTTGGTCTAATTAACTCCAAAATGTTGGAAAAGAGTTCCTACAAAGGTTTTGGACAGTGATTTTAACCCCAACGCCAAAAACCTTAAACCTTCCCCTAGCCCCAAAAACCTAATACCCGGGTAATACCTTCAGGAAGCCCGAAAACCCCAAATATTTTTTTTTCATTTTTCGTTATTTTTTGGTCTTACTAACTCCAAAAGGTCTGAAACATGTTCCTAAAAAGGTTTTGGACAGTGATTTTAACCCTAACGCCAAAAACCTTAAACCTTTCCCTAGCCCCAAAACCTAATACCTAATTTTATTACCTTCAGGAAGCCCGAAAACCCCAAATATTTTTTTTTCTTTTCTTTTTTCTTTTTTGGTCTAACTAACTCCAAAAGGTCTGAAACATGTTCCTTAAAAGGTTTTGGACAGTGATTTTAACCCTAACGCCAAAAACCTTAAACCTTACCCTAGCCCCATAACCTAATACCCGGGTATTACCTTCAGGAAGCCCGAAAACCCCAAATATTTTTTTTCTTTTCTTTTTTTTTTGGTCTAACTTACTCCAAAAGGTTGGAAAAGAGTTCCTACAAAGGTTTTGGACAGTGATTTTGACCCTAACGCCAAAAACCTTAAACCTTACCATAGCCCGAAAACCAAATACCAAATACCGTATTACCTTCAGGAAGCCCGAATACCCCAAATATTTTTTTTTCATTTTTCATTATTATTTGGTCTAACTAACTCCAAAAGGTTGGAAAAGAGTTCCTACAAAGGTTTTGGACAGTGATTTTAACCCTAACGCCAAAAACCTTAAACCTTCCCCTAGCCTCAAAACCTAATACGCGGGTATTACCTTCAGGAAGCCCGAAAACCCCAAATATTTTTTTTTCATTTTTCATTTTTTTTTTGGTCTAATTAACTCCAAAATGTTGGAAAAGAGTTCCTACAAAGGTTTTGGACAGTGATTTTAACCCCAACGCCAAAAACCTTAAACCTTCCCCTAGCCCCAAAACCTAATACCCGGGTAATACCTTCAGGAAGCCCGAAAAGCCCAAAAATTTTTTTTTCATTTTTCGTTATTTTTTGGTCTTACTAACTCCAAAAGGTCTGAAACATGTTCCTAAAAAGGTTTTGGACAGTGATTTTAACCCTAACGCCAAAAACCTTAAACCTTTCCCTAGCCCCAAAACCTAATACCCGGGTATTACCTTCAGGAAGCCCGAAAACCCCAAATATTTTTTTTTCTTTTCTTTTTTATTTTTTGGTCTAACTTACTCCAAAAGGTCTGAAACATGTTCCTTAAAAGGTTTTGGACAGTGATTTTAACCCTAACGCCAAAAACCTTAAACCTTACCCTAGCCCCATAACCTAATACCCGGGTATTACCTTCAGGAAGCCCGAAAACCCCAAATATTTTTTTTTTTTTCTTTTTTTTTTTGGTCTAACTAACTCCAAAAGGTTGGAAAAGAGTTCCTACAAAGGTTTTGGACAGTGATTTTAACCCCAACGCCAAAAACCTTAAACCTTACCCTAGCCCCAAAACCTAATACGCGGGTATTACCTTCACGAAGCCCGAAAACCCCAAATATTTTTTTTGCATTTTTCATGATTATTTGGTCTAATTAACTCCAAAATGTTGGAAAAGAGTTCCTACAAAGGTTTTGGACAGTGATTTTAACCCCAACGCCAAAAACCTTAAACCTTCCCCTAGCCCCAAAACCTAATACCCGGGTAATACCTTCAGGAAGCCCGAAAACCCCAAATATGTTTTTTTCATTTTTCATTGTTTTTTTTCAGTGAAACTTACTCCAAAAGGTTGGAAAAGAGTTCCTACAAAGGTTTTGGACAGTGATTTTAACCCCAACGCCAAAAACCTTAAACCTACCCTAGCCCCATAAACTAATACCTTCAGGAATCCCGAAAACCCCAAATATTATTTTTTCATTTTTCATTATTATTTGGTGTAACTAACTCCAAAATGTTGGAAAAGAGTTCCAACAAAGGTTTTGGACAGTGATTTTAACCCTTACGCCAAAAACCTTAAACCTTCCCGTAGCCCCAAAACCTAATACCTTCAAGAAGCCCGAAAACCCCAAATATATTTTTTTCATTTCTTTTTTGTTTTTTTTGGTGAAACTATCTCCAAAAGGTTGGAAAAGAGTTCCTACAAAGGTTTTGGACAGTGATTTTAAGCCCAACGCCAAAAACCTTAAACCTACCGTAGCCCCAAAACCTAATACGCGGGTATTACCTTCAGGAAGCCCGAAAACCCCAAATATTTTTTTTTCATTTTTCATTATTATTTAGTCTAACTACCTCCAAAATGTTGGAAAAGAGTTCCTACAAAAGTTTTGGACAGTGATTTTAACCCTAACGCCAAAAACCTTAAACCTTACCCTAGCCCTATAACCTAATACCTAATTTTATTACCTTCAGGAAGCCCGAAAACCCCAAATATTTTTTTTCTTTTTTCTTTTTTTTTTGGTCTAACTAACTCCAAAAGGTTGGAAAAGAGTTCCTACAAAGGTTTTGGACAGTGATTTTGACCCTAACGCCAAAAACCTTAAACCTTACCATAGCCCGAAAACCAAATACCCGGGTATTACCTTCAGGAAGCCCGAATACCCCAAATATTTTTTTTTCATTTTTCATTATTATTTGGTCTAACTAACTCCAAAAGGTTGGAAAAGAGTTCCTACAAAGGTTTTGGACAGTGATTTTAACCCTAACGCCAAAAACCTTAAACCTTCCCCTAGCCCCAAAACCTAATACGCGGGTATTACCTTCAGGAAGCCCGAAAACCCCAAATATTTTTTTTTCATTTTTCATTTTTTTTTGGTCTAATTAACTCCAAAATGTTGGAAAAGAGTTCCTACAAAGGTTTTGGACAGTGATTTTAACCCCAACGCCAAAAACCTTAAACCTTCCCCTAGCCCCAAAAACCTAATACCCGGGTAATACCTTCAGGAAGCCCGAAAAGCCCAAAAATTTTTTTTTCATTTTTCGTTATTTTTTGGTCTTACTAACTCCAAAAGGTCTGAAACATGTTCCTAAAAAGGTTTTGGACAGTGATTTTAACCCTAACGCCAAAAACCTTAAACCTTTCCCTAGCCCCAAAACCTAATACCTAATTTTATTACCTTCAGGAAGCCCGAAAACCCCAAATATTTTTTTTTCTTTTCTTTTTTATTTTTTGGTCTAACTAACTCCAAAAGGTCTGAAACATGTTCCTTAAAAGGTTTTGGACAGTGATTTTAACCCTAACGCCAAAAACCTTAAACCTTACCCTAGCCCCATAACCTAATACCCGGGTATTACCTTCAGGAAGCCCGAAAACCCCAAATATTTTTTTTCTTTTCTTTTTTTTTTTGGTCTAACTTACTCCAAAAGGTTGGAAAAGAGTTCCTACAAAGGTTTTGGACAGTGATTTTAACCCTAACGCCAAAAACCTTAAACCTTACCCTAGCCCCAAAACCAAATACGCGGGTATTACCTTCAGGAAGCCCGAAAACCCCAAATATTTTTTTTTCTTTTTTCTTTTTTTTTTTGGTCTAACTAACTCCAAAAGGTTGGAAAAGAGTTCCTACAAAGGTTTTGGACAGTGATTTTAACCCTAACGCCAAAAACCTTAAACCTTACCCTAGCCCCAAAACCTAATACCCGGGTATTACCTTCAGGAAGCCCGAAAACCCCAAATATTTTTTTTTCATTTTTCATTTTTATTTGGTCTAACTTACTCCAAAAGGTTGGAAAAGAGTTTCTACAAAGGTTTTGGACAGTGATTTTAACCCCAACGCCAAAAACATTAAACCTACCGTAGCCCCAAAACCTAATACGCGGGTATTACCTTCAGGAAGCCCGAAAACCCCAAATATTTTTTTTTCATTTTTCATTTTTTTGGTCTAACTAACTCCAAAAGGTTGGAAAAGAGTTCCTACAAAGGTTTTGGACAGTGATTTTAACCCTAACGCCAAAAACCTTAAACCTTCCCCTAGCCCCAAAACCTAATACGTGGGTATTACCTTCAGGAATCCCAAAAACCCCAAATATTTTTTTTTTTTTTTCTTTTTTTTTTGGTCTAACTAACTCCAAAAGGTTGGAAAAGAGTTCCTACAAAGGTTTTGGACAGTGATTTTAACCCTAACGCCAAAAACCTTAAACCTTACCCTAGCCCCAAAACCTAATACCCGGGTATTACCTTCAGGAAATATTTTTTTTTCATTTTTCATTATTATTTGGTCTAACTAACTCCAAAAGGTTGGAAAAGAGTTCCTACAAAGGTTTTGGACAGTGATTTTAACCCTAACGCCAAAAACCTTAAACCTTACCCTAGCCCCAAAACCTAATACCCGGGTATTACCTTCAGGAAGCCCGAACACCCCAAATATTTTTTTTTTCATTTTTCGTTATTTTTTGGTCTAACTAACTCCAAAAGGTTGGAAAAGAGTTCCTACAAAGGTTTTGGACAGTGATTTTAACCCTAACGCCAAAAACCTTAAACCTTTCCCTAGCCCCAAAACCTAATACCCGGGTATTACCTTCAGGAAGCCCGAAAACCCCAAATATTTTTTTTTCTTTTCTTTTTTATTTTTTGGTCTAACTAACTCCAAAAGGTTGGAAAGAGTTCCTACAAAGGTTTTGGACAGTGATTTTAACCCTAACGCCAAAAACCTTAAACCTTCCCTAGCCCCAAAACCTAATACCCGGGTATTACCTTCAGGAAGCCCGAAAACCCCAAATATTTTTTTTTCATTTTTCATTTTTTTTTGGTCTAACTAACTCCAAAAGGTTGGAAAAGAGTTCCTACAAAGGTTTTGGACAGTGATTTTAACCCTAACGCCAAAAACCTTAAACCTTACCCTAGCCCCATAACCTAATACCCGGGTATTACCTTCAGGAAGCCCGAAAACCCCAAATATTTTTTTTTTTTTTTTTTTTTTTTTGGTCTAACTAACTCCAAAAGGTTGGAAAAGAGTTCCTACAAAGGTTTTGGACAGTGATTTTAACCCTAACGCCAAAAACCTTAAACCTTACCCTAGCCCCAAAACCTAATACCCGGGTATTACCTTCAGGAAGCCCGAATACCCCAAATATTTTTTTTTCATTTTTCATTTTTATTTGGTCTAACTAACTCCAAAAGGTTGGAAAAGAGTTCCTACAAAGGTTTTGGACAGTGATTTTAACCCTAACGCCAAAAACCTTAAACCTTACCCTAGCCCCAAAACCTAATACGCGGGTATTACCTTCAGGAAGCCCGAAAACCCCAAATATTTTTTTTTCATTTTTCATTATTATTTGGTCTAACTAACTCCAAAATGTTGGAAAAGAGTTCCTACAAAGGTTTTGGACAGTGATTTTAACCCTAACGCCAAAAACCTTAAACCTTCCCCTAGCCCCAAAACCTAATACGTGGGTATTACCTTCAGGAATCCCAAAAACCCCAAATATTTTTTTTCTTTTTTCTTTTTTTTTTTTGGTTTAACTAACTCCAAAAGGTTGGAAAAGAGTTCCTACAAAGGTTTTGGACAGTGATTTTAACCCTAACGCCAAAAACCTTAAACCTTACCATAGCCCGAAAACCAAATACCCGGGTATTACCTTCAGGAAGCCCAAATACCCCAAAAATTTTTTTTTTCATTTTTCATTATTATTTGGTCTAACTAACTCCAAAAGGTTGGAAAAGAGTTCCTACAAAGGTTTTGGACAGTGATTTTAACCCTAACGCCAAAAACCTTAAACCTTTCCCTAGCCCCAAAACCTAATACCCGGGTATTACCTTCAGGAAGCCCGAACACCCCAAATATTTTTTTTTCTTTTCTTTTTTATTTTTTGGTCTAACTTACTCCAAAAGGTCTGAAACATGTTCCTTAAAAGGTTTTGGACAGTGATTTTAACCCTAACGCCAAAAACCTTAAACCTTACCCTAGCCCCATAACCTAATACCCGGGTATTACCTTCAGGAAGCCCGAAAACCCCAAATATTTTTTTTTTCTTTTCTTTTTTTTTTTTTGGTCTAACTTACTCCAAAAGGTTGGAAAAGAGTTCCTACAAAGGTTTTGGACAGTGATTTTAACCCTAACGCCAAAAACCTTAAACCTTACCCTAGCCCCAAAACCTAATACCGGGTATTACCTTCAGGAAGCCCGAAAACCCCAAATATTTTTTTTTTTTTTTTTTTTTTTTGGTGAAACTTACTCCAAAAGGTTGGAAAAGAGTTCCTACAAAGGTTTTGGACAGTGATTTTAACCCTAACGCCAAAAACCTTAAACCTTACCCTAGCCCCATAACCTAATACCCGGGTATTACCTTCAGGAAGCCCGAAAACCCCAAATATTTTTTTCTTTTTTCTTTTTTTTTGGTCTAACTAACTCCAAAAGGTTGGAAAAGAGTTCCTACAAAGGTTTTGGACAGTGATTTTAACCCTAACGCCAAAAACCTTAAACCTTACCATAGCCCCAAAACCAAATACCCGGGTATTACCTTCAGGAAGCCCGAACACCCCAAATATTTTTTTTTCATTTTTCATTTTTTTTGGTCTAACTAACTCCAAAAGGTTGGAAAAGAGTTCCTACAAAGGTTTTGGACAGTGATTTTAACCCTAACGCCAAAAACCTTAAACCTTACCCTAGCCCCAAAACCTAATACCCGGGTATTACCTTCAGGAAGCCCGAAAACCCCACATATTTTTTTTTCATTTTTCATTATTATTTGGTCTAACTAACTCCAAAAGGTTGGAAAAGAGTTCCTACAAAGGTTTTGGACAGTGATTTTAACCCTAACGCCAAAAACCTTAAACCTTCCCCTAGCCCCAAAACCTAATACCGGGTATTACCTTCAGGAAGCCCGAAAACCCCAAATATTTTTTTTTCATTTTTCATTTTTTTTTTGGTCTAACTAACTCCAAAAGGTTGGAAAAGAGTTCCTACAAAGGTTTTGGACAGTGATTTTAACCCTAACGCCAAAAACCTTAAACCTTACCCTAGCCCCAAAACCTAATACCCGGGTATTACCTTCAGGAAGCCCGAAACCCCAAATATTTTTTTTTCATTTTTCGTTATTTTTTGGTCTTACTAACTCCAAAAGGTTGGAAAAGAGTTCCTACAAAGGTTTTGGACAGTGATTTTAACCCTAACGCCAAAAACCTTAAACCTTTCCCTAGCCCCAAAACCTAATACCCGGGTATTACCTTCAGGAAGCCCGAAAACCCCAAATATTTTTTTTTTCATTTTTTTATTTTTTGGTCTAACTAACTCCAAAAGGTTGAAAATGTTCCTACAAAGGTTTTGGACAGTGATTTTAACCCTAACGCCAAAAACCTTAAACCTTACCCTAGCCCCATAACCTAATACCCGGGTATTACCTTCAGGAAGCCCGAAAACCCCAAATATTTTTTTTTCTTTTCTTTTTTTTTTTGGTCTAACTTACTCCAAAAGGTTGGAAAAGAGTTCCTACAAAGGTTTTGGACAGTGATTTTAACCCTAACGCCAAAAACCTTAAACCTTACCCTAGCCCCAAAACCAAATACGCGGGTATTACCTTCACGAAGCCCGAAAACCCCAAATATTTTTTTTCTTTTTTTTTTTTTTTTGGTCTAACTAACTCCAAAAGGTTGGAAAAGAGTTCCTACAAAGGTTTTGGACAGTGATTTTAACCCTAACGCCAAAAACCTTAAACCTTACCCTAGCCCCAAAACCAAATACCCGGGTATTACCTTCAGGAAGCCCGAATACCCCAAATATTTTTTTTTCATTTTTCATTATTATTTGGTCTAACTAACTCCAAAAGGTTGGAAAAGAGTTCCTACAAAGGTTTTGGACAGTGATTTTAACCCTAACGCCAAAAACCTTAAACCTTACCCTAGCCCCAAAACCAAATACGCGGGTATTACCTTCACGAAGCCCGAAAACCCCAAATATTTTTTTTGCATTTTTCATTATTATTTGGTCTAACTAACTCCAAAATATTGGGAAAGAGTTCCTACAAAGGTTTTGGACAGTGATTTTAACCCTAACACCAAAAACCTTAAACCTTCCCCTAGCCCCAAAACCTAATACCTTCAGGAAGCCCGAAAACCCCAAATATTTTTTCTTCATTTTTCATTTTTTATTGGTCTAACTAACTCCAAAAGGTTGGAAAAGAGTTCCTACAAAGGTTTTGGACAGTGATTTTGACCCTAACGCCAAAAACGTTAAACCTTACCTTAGCCCCAAAACGTAATACGGGTATTACCTTCAGGAAGCCCGAAAACCCCAAATATTTTTTTTTCTTTTTTTTTTTTTTTTTTGGTCTAACCATCTCCAAAAGGTTGGAAAAGAGTTCCTACAAAGGTTTTGGACAGTGATTTTAACCCTAACGCCAAAAACCTTAAACCTTCCCCTAGCCCCAAAACCTAATACGCGGGTATTACCTTCAGGAAGCCCGAAAACCCCAAATATTTTTTTTTCATTTTTCATTATTATTTAGTCTAACTTACTCCAAAAGGTTGGAAAAGAGTTCCTACAAAAGTTTTGGACAGTGATTTTAACCCTAACGCCAAAAACGTTAAACCTTCCCCTAGCCCCAAAACCTAATACGTGGGTATTACCTTCAGGAATCCCAAAAACCCCAAATATTTTTTTTCTTTTTTCTTTTTTTTTTGGTCTAACTAACTCCAAAAGGTTGGAAAAGAGTTCCTACAAAGGTTTTGGACAGTGATTTTGACCCTAACGCCAAAAACCTTAAACCTTACCATAGCCCGAAAACCAAATACCCGGGTATTACCTTCAGGAAGCCCGAATACCCCAAATATTTTTTTTTTCATTTTTCATTTTTATTTGGTCTAACTAACTCCAAAAGGTTGGAAAAGAGTTCCTACAAAGGTTTTGGACAGTGATTTTAACACTAACGCCAAAAACCTTAAACCTTTCCCTAGTCCCAAAACCTAATACACGGGTGTTACTTTCAGGGAGCCCGAAAACCCCCAATAATATTTTTTTCTTTTTTCATATTTTTTGGTCTAACTAACTCCAAAAGGTGGGAAAAGAGTTCCTACAAAGGTTTTGGACAGTGATTTTAACCCTAACGCCAAAAACCTTTAACCTTACCCTAGCCTTGAAATCTAATACCCGGGTATTACCTTCAGGAAGCCTGACACCCCAAATATTTTTTTCTTCATTTTACATTTTTGTTGGTGTAACCAACTCCAAAAGGTTGGAAAAGAGTTCCTACAAAGGTTTTGGACAGTGATTTTAACCCTAACGCCAAAAAACTTAAACCTTACCATAGCCCCATAACCTAATACCTGGGTATTACTTTTAGGAAGCCTGAACACCCCAAATATTTTTTTTTCATTTTTCTTTTTTTTTTTTGGTCTAACCAACTCCAAAAGGTTGGAAAAGTGTTCCTACAAAGGTTTTGGACAGTGATTTTAACCCTAATGCCAAAAAACTTAAACCTTACCCTGGCCTTAAAATCTAATACCCGGGTATTACATTCAGGAAGCCCGAACACCCCAAATATTTTTTTTTTTTCATTTTACATTTTTTTTGGTGTAACCAACTCTAAAAGGTTGGAAAAGAGTTCCTACAAAGGTTTTGGACAGTGATTTTAACCCTAACGCCAAAAAACTTAAACCTTACCATAGCCCCAAAACCTAATACCCGGGTATTACTTTCAGGGAGCCCGAAAACACCCAATAATATTTTTTTCTTTTTTCATATTTTTTTTTGGTCTAACTAACTCCAAAAGGTTGGAAAAGAGTTCCTACAAAGGTTTTGGACAGTGATTTTAACCCTAACGCCAAAAAACTTAAACCTTACCATAGCCCCATAACCTAATACCTGGGTATTACTTTTAGGAAGCCTGAACACCCCAAATATTTTTTTTTCATTTTTCTTTTTTTTGGTCTAACCAAGTCCAAAAGGTTGGAAAAGTGTTCCTACAAAGGTTTTGGACAGTGATTTTAACCCTAACGCCAAAAACCTTAAACCTTTCCCTAGTCCCAAAACCTAATACACGGGTATTACTTTCAGGGAGCCCGAAAACCCCCAATAATATTTTTTTCTTTTTTCATATTTTTTGGTCTAACTAACTCCAAAAGGTTGGAAAAGAGTTCCTACAAAGGTTTTGGACAGTGATTTTAACCCTAACGCCAAAAACCTTAAACCTTACCCTAGCCTTGAAATCTAATACCCGGGTATTACCTTCAGGGAGCCCGAAAACCCCAAATATTTTTTTCTTCATTTTACATTTTTGTTGGTGTAACCAACTCCAAAAGGTTGGAAAAGAGTTCCTACAAAGGTTTTGGACAGTGATTTTAACCCTAATGCCAAAAAACTTAAACCTTACCCTAGCCTCAAAATCTAATACCCGGGTATTACATTCAGGAACCCCGAAAACCCCAAATATTGTTTTTTAATTTTTCATTTTTTTTTGGTCTAACTAACTCCAAAAGGTTGGAAAAGAGTTCCTACAAAGGTTTTGGACAGTGATTTTAACCCTAACGCCAAAAAACTTAAACCTTACCATAGCCCCATAACCTAATACCTGGGTATTACTTTTAGGAAGCCTGAACACCCCAAATATTTTTTTTTCATTTTTCTTTTTTTTGGTCTAACCAAGTCCAAAAGGTTGGAAAAGTGTTCCTACAAAGGTTTTGGACAGTGATTTTAACCCTAACGCCAAAAAACTTAAACCTTACCCTGGCCTTAAAATCTAATACCTGGGTATTACTTTCAGGAAGCCCGAACACCCCAAATATTTTTTTTTAATTTTTCATTTTTTTTTGGTCTAACTAACTCCAAAAGGTTGGAAAAGAGTTCCTACAAAGGTTTTGGACAGTGATTTTAACCCTAACGCCAAAAACCTTTAACCTTACCCTAGCCTTGAAATCTAATACCCGGGTATTACCTTCAGGAAGCCTGACACCCCAAATATTTTTTTCTTCATTTTACATTTTTGTTGGTGTAACCAACTCCAAAAGGTTGGAAAAGAGTTCCTACAAAGGTTTTGGACAGTGATTTTAACCCTAACGCCAAAAAACTTAAACCTTACCATAGCCCCATAACCTAATACCTGGGTATTACCTTCAGGAAGCCTGAACACCCCAAATATTTTTTTTTCATTTTTCATTTTTTTTGGTCTAACTAACTCCAAAGG